TCCACCATTAAAAGACAGAAGTTACTAATACTCCCCCATTGCCTACTTTTGTTTTGTTTCACTGCATTGGATACGTAATGCAACCGATAAATCGTCTTTCAGTATTATGAGGCTACAAGGAAGAGTAAATTAGAGTCATTACAGAGCTCTGTGTGTCACTGACCTCCTTAAAGCCGTATTGTGTTGATTAATTGATTAATTCCAAAGCTCCGTCTGGTTCGAATCGAGATAATTTCGTAAATAGCATGGCAGCCATGACTGGAATATAATTAGGCAAGAGCCTTGTATTTATCTTTTGAAGCAAATATCAATTTGGTGAGGGAGTAAATGGAAGTTATTTGACATTAGTGTGTTGTCGTTAAGTCGCGCTTTATTGTTTCTGGAAGCCAGTATCGTGGTGCGTTGATTGCGAAATAAGATGGCGGAAGTAATTGTCGTCAATCGCACCGCATTATTCTGTAATTAAGAAAGAAGTATTTCGAAGTTTCCACCGTTTAACAAACGTTTTATGTTCATTATCAACGCACGGTTGGAAACTGCAGGAAGTCTTTCAGGAGATTTGCGAACAATTGATGCCGTGGAATCATTTCGGAATATTGCAATTGCAGATAGTTTTTTTTTTGGTAGAGTAAGTGAAAGTGGTATCATAACCACCTGTGACATGGATGCAATGGCGGCGTTTTTTGATAAGTGGATTGTTCGTAAAATATATAATACAATACATATTAAAAATAGCCCGCGATAAATTCCAGGTGATCGAGTTAACTGCACTGACGAATCGAAACTAATTTTTTAACGCAATAAAATTCACCCTTTCGATAAATTACAGGTGATTGACTTTCAATTCGCTCGCGGCCCAACGCGAGTTTTCTTACACAACTGAAACGCACCCTGCACCAAATTACAGGTCTCGACGCAAACGCTCTGATGGTTCTCGACGTGAATTCTCTCGCGGCATAATGCGGATTTCCCCTTCATATTATTTTTCGTTCATGAGTCACACCCACCCCGGGACTTAAACCTTTTCCTCTAATCAAAACAAATTTTTCCGCTTAAATTTACTGAAGGTGAAGTGTTTTCACTACGTAGCAGACTTGATAACGGCGACTGCAAAATCAACAAAATCTTCCTGTGATTCGAATAAACTATGCAATTACCAATGACTCATTGGCGCCTCAAGCTTTCGAACGGATTTACATAGTCAGGACACGAATTGAATGCTCGAAATAGCATCCATTAAAAACCATCACTGTAAAAGTTACCAACCTCATATAAATTATCTAAAACAGCACATAGGGTGTAAAAATATACAGCGTGTGGCATTTCAATTTTGAAATGAAATGAAAAAAATAAAAAATACTGTTTAGAGTATTAAATTCACAATCACAAACAGCCATGGGTCGTTGTAACCAAAGTTAGAGCCACAACTGAGCTACTCAGGTCGACCAGTTCTTTTCAAGTTAGAATACTGTATTCCTCCAGAACATTTATACCCAAATTATAAGGAGACATTGATTTTATTCCAGAAATACCGATAGACATTGAGGCGCTATGAAGGAATAGTCATCGGCGATAAAGAACGGAGGCGGATTTCCCGGAAATATGAACACATAAAATGTTCCAGAAAATTCGGGCGCACCCGAGAACACTTAAGTTTGCTATATAAACATATTGAATTGCGATTGACGACAGTTTCATTTTCGACGCCGAAGTGATAAATAGTTTTAGCTGTTATAAATTGTGCACATGTGAATGATAAATTTTAATCATATTTTAACTACCTGCGTATTTGAAATCAATTTAATTTTAGGGAAACTTGATGGTAAATTTGAAGGCAGGAGATGGATTTGAGAGGAAATTAAGGAGAATTTGACAGGGATTAAAGATAAATATACAGGAAACATGCGAGGCAACTAAGGGACACGTAGAGGAACTTGAGGAACAATTTCAGGGGCCGATTAGATAAAAACTTGAAGGAAACTAGATAGGAAGGGAATATCAAAGAAGTAAAAAGGTTTTCGCCCTAAGGCGAGCAACTTTATCGCATATTCCATGAATTGATTAGTAGTTCCTAAAACGACATAGCAATTATGTTGGAAAATGCGCTAATAACTTGAGAATAACTTGAAAAAAATTGAATTGAAAGAGGAAGAACGTTAACATAAAAAAAACACTTTAGAGTATCTTGACAGATATTTTAAAGAAAGGTAAGGGAAACTTGAGAAGGATTAGAGAAAATTGCAGCGTGCAACGATCGTCGATGGAAATGATATTACAACAACTTACAGCCGAAACCTAAAGAATGTACACGATAAATAAACGAAATGCAACATAGCGGTACTTACATATAAAGGAAAAAACGTATATGTATAACCTCCACTGGGACCACAGGCAAATCTCGTCCAAACTATTCACTTCGGAATTCCCAAATTATGAATTCGAACGCCAGAGATCAATATACAGGGTGTCAATTTTAAAACTTGCAGTCGGCCATATTTTCCAATCTAAAGAAGATATTGAAAATCGCGCAAAAGCGTTGCTGGGGTATCGAGGGGGAACCAGAATGAAGTTATGAGTGACATCCCCCCTAACCCCCCTCTTCAAAAATCCTAAATGGCGACCCCATACTTGTGACACATCGTTGGAAAGCTACTGAAAAATGCTTTCCAGTGGTACCAATAAAGTCAATATTCTTTAAGACAATTTAACAAAAATTTAATAATTAACAAAAAAAACTAAATGTTGATATTGAGGGATTTATGGCAAATTGGCCAAGAACTTCAACCTGAGCTGCTTTATTAAGCAATCTTGGTTCTTCTTTAGTTTGGAAAATATGGCCGACTGCAAGTTTTAAAATTGACACCTCGTATATTCGGAACTGATGGCAATTAGAATTCCGCGCGTTCTACTTTACGCTTTCAGCTGTTTTTTTAATCGACGTGAAATCTCAACAGATGGAACAAACTTTAATTGTGCACAACTCTCAACTGAAAGCGCATTTTTAACCGAAATAGCTTAGTAACTATGTAGTTGGGTTATAAGGTAATAGCATGCTATACATATTTATCAATGTTTAAGTTAATGGTAGATTATGAGGAGGAGGATCTTTACATATATACATTTAAAGGCCGCCTAGCATACTCTAACATTCCAAATCTACGGTATATAATGCAAGAAGAAGCTGTTAGAGAAATTTTCCACAGGGTGTTGCATTTAAAAAATACCAACTTTGGGTAAAATCTCATGAGGGTTCCTCCAAAAAATTTTTCAACTACGCCACTGGATTCTTTTTACCTCGGTTTTTATCTTTTTCTTACATTTCTTACGTGGGTAGTAAGCTATGATAACATCCCAAAAAGTCAAGACTCAGAAACAAACCGAGTTGGATTGCGTGCTAGATTAATTCTGTTTGTGGTATTAAAAGTTTCACAAAAAAGTGGCAGAGGATCGCGAAAACCACAAGTCGCTAGTTTTAAAAACCGCTGGGACACTGCAGTCTCAACCAAAATAGGGCACATGGTACATTCGTGGTACATATATAGATTATAGAACCTCGGTACAAAATTAGAATTTTAGAAAATTTACGTTTTGGGTCATTTTTTATGTGGGGGTGATTTTGCGGCACTTTTTTCAAAATTATCTGGAACTATAGATGAAAAATTCTTACCTCAGCCCAGGTTCGAACACCCGACCTCCGGCTTTATAGCCCAACGCTCTACCATTGAACTACAAATTAAATAGAATTAATAAAAAATTGAAGAGGTCTACGAGTACAAGTCTACAACTATTATGATTTATGAGTGGAAATAAAACTACTAAGAAACTACAGATACCGTTTAAATCGAGGTTTAAACTAAACTAAACCCTGAGAAGACGATATTATGCACTTTTCTTCGTTTCAATTTGGTGTAGCCGTTTGCTTGTTTGCATTTTTAGGAAGATGCGCCTTAGTGGAGCACCATTGACCGCGTTTATACATTTTTTCGCAGATTTCTCCACGACTTTTCAGTAGACCAGACCAAAAATTTGAAACATAAAATAACTCTGGTCAGTTTGTGATGCAGAACCGCCCTGATAAACGCGAGGATAAACGAAACAATCGCGGCGAATCTCTTTATATACTTGTAGTGAGTCGAATCCAAAAGAACACCATGTATAGTAGTTGTATTACTTTCAGTCAAGAAAGCTTTGGGATGCTGTATTAAATTAAAACTTTGAAATACCAAATACCGCACGGAAACGTTTATTAAACTTTGCCTAAGCTCTGAATAATCGATGCAGGTATGTAATAAAATTGTAGAATTCAAACTTCAAAGAGAAGCGTATCTAATCTTAGAAGAGACGCTTATATTAAAACCGTATTTAAACAGATTCCCAAAATTGATCTTAAATGTCTTATTTCACAAAATAAATTTGTTTGTAATACATATAAGTACATCACAAACGGTTGTCTCTCCTAAATTGAAATTACCGAAAGTTAATAAGCTCGCTCTATTTTACGCATCTGGATGCCGACGCCGACGCCGCTTAGAACTTGCGGTATACCGAAGGTAATTGAATATCGAACCAATTCCGCCCCCTTCGTCATCAATCAAAGCATTGTCGGTATTTCCTCCTTAGGGACGTTGAGTCGGTGTTGTATAGCGTATATAATTCAGAAAAATGTACTTAGGTTCCCTGTTTCTGAATTTGTCAAATGTCGCTTGCATGGATGGGCATCGACGTTTCGATTTGTATTTGCACTTAACCGATATTAACTAAGATATACGAATGTAGACAAACACGTGTTTTCGCTTTTGGCATTCGCCCCACAGCCAGACCTTTTTCTGATTTTTTTTGTCTAAACAAATTCGTAATTCCATCTTATTTTTAGAAACTTCGAGCACTCAGTCAGATCAGAGTTTAAAGTACGCCGTTCTTATTTTGGTACGGCACGCTAAAATAGACATGCTAGCATTCGCTTTTTGTATATTTACATTGTAAAAGATATAATGATGTAGAAGGCGACTCCTCAAGTCAGGATGACGAATCGACTGTAAAAGGAAATGCGGTATGGTCAGGAACCACTTCAAATCGAGAATCGAGTTCGGAGCTCTCATCCTGTTCGTCGACGCATTCGAAAACTTTGAAAGGTTTTTCTCCCGCGCGATAAAACGTTGCTAAATATATCGAGATCAAATATAAATGGTCTGCTCACGTAATTCATTCAAGTACCCAGTTTGGAGCTTTATAGCAGTGTATTTCGAATGTTTTTCATAACCGCATCGTGCTTGTATTTGTATGGTTAAGGGATGATATCGAAATTCTTGTGAACTACAAATATACTGTTTAGTGTTGTCGATTCAAAAACAATTGGACACATTGCAATATTATTACAAAGAGAAGGGGGGTTCTGTTCAAAAGACTAGGAGTTTGTTTGTCATCAGGTCAGAGTACGTTTTTATACAGGGTGACGATTTGAAAACTTACCACCCCTCATATCTTAGTAAATAAACGAGATATTTAAAAAAATCAAAATCCGTTTCGGTAATTCGGAGGGGGAATCACAATGACATAGTTGGCGACGCACCCCTCCAACCCCCTGCGCCCCAGCCACCCCAACTTTTAAATCTTAAATAGTGACCCCCCATGTGTGATACGTCGTTGGAAAGCTCTGAAAAAATGCTTTCCAACCATACCAAATAGCATTACATTTAGGTTAGTAATTATCGTGCAAATCAAAAAATAAACATGGAAAATCGTATTTAACTTGAACTTCCAAAGCCGACTTGACAGCAACTCATTTTTGATCGCCAGTTATAATCTATTCTCAAACTCTTGTCGAACCTTTTCAAATGTTGGTTTTGCAATATTTCGACATTCTTGAATTATTCTCTGTCTTAGTTCGTCTATGTTCGCCGGTTGCGTTTTAAATACGACAGATTTCAAATGTATCATATTAGTTTATTTTTTGATTTGCACGATAATTACTAACCTAAATGTAATGCTATTTGGTATGGTTGGAAAGCATTTTTTCAGAGCTTTCCAACGACGTATCACACATGGGGGGTCACTATTTAAGATTTAAAAGTTGGGGTGGCTGGGGCGCAGGGGGTTGGAGGGGGTGCGTCGCCAACTATGTCATTGTGATTCCCCCTCCGAATTACCGAAACGGATTTTGATTTTTTTTAATATCCCGTTTATTTACTAAGATATGAGGGGTGGTAAGTTTTCAAATTGTCATAAGATACACTACAGTAACAACCCAAACAATCATATGTTGGACAGTGTCACTAACAATCAATGATGTAATTTATTTTTCATTCATTTGACCGATATCGATATAAGGCCACGGACATAACATTCATATTTCACCTCGACTATTTAGCGACACAATTAAAGGCATCGCATACTTCAACAGTCGAATATATTGTAGATAGCTCCACGCGATGCAATGACGATTTTCAATGGATACGTAAAGATCCGATCGAAATGTCGATTCAAAAAATGGACCAGCAACTTCCGCAAACAAAACCGCCGATTAATCGTTCGCTGAGGGAGAGGTCGTCGCGCAGATCGTCGGAAAGGGAACGAGCGGCGGCGCCTGGAAGCTTGGACAGACGAAGACATCATCAGAACCGGCAGGAGAGAGATCAGAAAGCGAGGTCCTCGCATATACTGAAAAGTCCGCCGAAATGCGATGACTATGCAAGTACGCAGAGTTGCCAGAACTGGTGTTGCAACCCGCATCCGAACGAGCAGTACTGTTTTGATAACTTTCATCGGCGACATGAGAGGGTCGATCCGCAGAGGTACGGAAGTAGTCCGATGTTAATGGACCAGCGGTTTGTGGACAGAGGGAGTCATCCGGATCTTTACAATGAATTTGGTCGATTCAGGCACGAACAACCGTACGGGTGCTGCTCGTATCACACTGCGCCGCCTTGCTGTTTCTTTAGTGATGCGCGAAGTTATCACTGGCCTCCTCCATCTTATTCACTTAATAAGGTATAATTGTTTGTGATTTTTACTATTGCTACTAACCGACCAATTTGTATCTACCGGTCAATTATAGATAGTTGTCCAGAACCGGCGGCTTAACTGGAAATATGCTGCGCCGCCTCGGCTCTCCCCGTGCAAAATTTGAAGAAGCACTTGCTTTTTGTTCAGTTACATTGAAACCGGCTTATAATTAAAGATTTGACCGTTTTTGGCATAAGATGGAATTACTGCCTTTATTTTTTAGAATTTATACACTACTATAGAGCAAAAGGGCGATTTCCATTTTAGGAAGGTTAGGGCATTTTGGAAATCCAATTTCCGTGCGCCCTGTGTAAGTTTTTTAAAAATAATTATTACATGTCCATACCTAGATCTTATTGGTCTCAATAGTAAAAACACTTAGTAGTAGAAACCAGAACCCGGTGCCCCTCCCCCCCTTTCCGGTCAGGCACTCGTAGGTGAAGGAACTTCCCGGTGACGTAACTAAAGAGTGACTATTTGTTATGTAAGGTCGTGACTTTAGTGAAAGAAATTTCCTGGTGATATAACTAAGGAGTAACCTTGTTTTGTGTGTTGTTGTGTACGAAGGCTGCAATAGACAAACACGTTGTCGATCTTCGATAACTTGGAGCTGGAGTAGGTTGAAAAAAATATAACTTCTTGGATTAAGACACTTTTACTTAACAGCTACATACATAGGTACATATAACATTCACACGCACACCTGGTCAGTACCAAATTATCCCTCTCTCGTCCGCCGTTTTCTGCCCAAAAACCACATGTGTGCGCTTCGTCGAGCTTGCATTAAAATTAATAAAATTCGGTCAACGCGCCAACAAACAGTACAAAGTGAGACAGATAGATTTTAAATTGATTGATAAATTGATGAGAGGGATACACAGATAATAATATCGGGCAAACTCTTTATTGGTCCGATTCAAATTAGAATATGGAGTGACAATATGGAACCACAAAGTAATTCTTGAACAGTTCAAAGACGTTTTTGCAAATACATGTTTTACAGAACACATGGGTATTATGCCGAAAAAGGATGTAACAACATGGAAATGTTGGAAAGTGTTAATGTTGAAGCTCTTGAACTAAGAAAGAAAATTGGACAGCAAAATATGTAAAGAGAAGAGTTGGAACTTCATGTAAACGTTTTTGTAAAGACAGTCGGCACTAAAAATTAAACTCGAAAATTTTTACAAGTTCTGAAACCAATTTCAAATATCTTCCTAATATTAAAACCCATCAAAAACGTTTTAACATTCCACTTTGCCCAGTAACGAGATCAAGCTTCCAATATATTGCCTATATTTTTTTTCTCACATATTTTGCTGCAAAAATAAATCCAAAGGACATTTTTAGATTGTCAACTTTAGCCTACATTCTCGGACCTTGAGGCATTATGAGTAACTACACTTTATTAAATTGAATAAGTAATTAATTTTAAAAACGAAAATTTTGCAAGTTCTGAAACGTATTTCAAATATCTTGCTAAAATTAGTACAAATTTTTTTGCATTTTTCTTGTCCGTAGGGCCAAACCAAACTGTAGAGTATCGGGAGTTTAGCTCTGGAATTCATGTCGTTTGGCGCAGTGGAGTGGAAGCTGACGGTACTGAAAATTAAAGAAGAAGCCCAAAATTTTGGATGTAGCCTAATCACTACTGATTCAATGATAATAAATGTTTAGTAGTTTCGTAGGGCAAATCAGTTGAACGATAACTTAGCTGTGGATATGGCAATGGTCCAGTCTAAGAAAAAAAGTAGTACCGAGTACCGTAGTATTCACCCGCGGTCGTTTTATTACGATTTCTGACTGGGGGTCATGCCCTGTAAGTCTATAAGCCCTATTATACCTATTTAATTTAAGAAAATGAGATGAGAGTTAAATATTCTTTGTAATGGGCAATTAAGCCTTCATCAAATCAAAAACTGAAAATTGTAATTTATTTTGATTCTATTGAATACTGAGTCTAATCAGAAATATCAAAAACACAAGGGAAGCAATATCGAGGAAACCCAATTTCACTTCGATATGCCAAGAATTAATCGTTCGTTTTATAAATAATCAAGACTGCAGTTTTGAACAAAAAATAGTTATTCTGAAACGCAACACTATGGAATGTAGAAGCGATTTGTGTAAGGGAGTGGGGGCTCTCCTATCGTAAAAATGTTTGATTCTAATCTAATAGAAAGACAAATTTTGACTAGCAATATAAATGTTGTATATAAAAGCATAGCGGAGAAATACAATTGTTTGGTTTTTTTTTACTACAAACCCACTCGGAGCATCTGTGCAAAAATGTGTTGCGTCTAAAATTTTAATTAAATTTTTTCCTTTGGTGCAATACTATTTTCGGAGTCTTAATTAGCGATGTACTGTATTTTTTTGTTTATGTACACCCCAAAGAAAGAGAACAGGATTTACATCTTGGGGGGGGGGGCAGTGGCCATCATCCTTTTTTATTTATTTTATTTATTTATCTTATTATTCTTGTCACAACAGAGACTATATCTTGGCGTTCTACAGGAACGCCTTAACTTCAACAGGGTGTCCTATTAATAAAGATATATCTATGTAACCTTTAATTGTACAGCTTGGAGAAAGAGATTTTATTAACAAATGAGGTCCACTGAAATCGCTGGAGATTATGTTCAAGTTCTTCGGTTTGTCGCTAGAGGGCGTACTATTCAAGGTTAAGTAGCAAAATCATTTTTTTTTCTAAAATATACCCGACAAACATGCATAAAAATACATTTATCGCAATGTTGTATGAGTTTTGCATCATTTTGATGCAGCACTACCTCATAAAATATGAGGGATGGGGGAAGAGGGATAACACAACGACTATATAGGTACCTTGTGTCCTATTTTGACTGAGACTGCAGTGTATCTCAGCTGTTTTTAAAGATAGAGACTTGCGGTTTTCGCCACCCTTTGTCATTTTTTTGTGAAACTTAATAGCACAAATAGAATCAATCTAACTACGTTTGTTTCTGAGATATCGAAAACGAAAAGTTTGACTTTTTGGAAAGTTGTCTTACTACCCTTATAAGATTAAAAAAAAGGTAAATACTGCATATTTTAGATATTTTTTACGTAGAATTCAGTGGGACAGTAAAAAAACACTCTGTATATCTTAACGTCAATTTCTTCCATTATTTTTCCTGATTACATTGATGTATGACAATCTACATTTTTTAATATAATTATATAATATTATATCATTTTTCAAAATTTTGAAATGCCATATTTTTACCGTCAGCCATTTTTATTGATTAGTTACCATGGATACAATAAACAAAATAAAATCTTCATGAATCCGTGGCCTACTACATTTAAAAACTGTAAAAAATAAAGTTTTTATTTTTTATTGATGGCTAAAATTAACAAAAAACACAAGAACACAAAGAAAGTCGCACCTGGACGCCAAAACTGTAAGTCTCTATCTTTAAAAACAGTTGAAATACACTGCAGTCTCAACCAAAGTAGGACACCCTGTACAAGAAAAAGCAACATTTCTTCAGAGATATAGGTACTTAACTTGCCGCAAACTCCGCATTTCAATTGGATCCTCTTTGAATAGCGTCTTAAAATGAGATTATAGATGTGGTCTACTGTTGTGGATTCATTGATGTTGAAGTTACAACCAATACAGTTTTCTGTATTGTGCACAGCATTTGAACATCATTTGATTTTTTGATATCACATTCTCTCCGTTTCAGCAATGGGTTTATTTGTATCATAACGTTAGAGTCTTCTATTTCTATTACATTGAACCTAAAGTAAGTTTCATCCTTTTTTGGCGTATTTTTTGAAACTAATGGTGACAGTCGAAACACGTACGAACTAATGAGTGCTAAGGTTTATGCATTTATTGACTTCTTTGCGTTGACATTACCATGTAATTTAATGTACTACTGTCACTGTGCGCAATAGTATGCTGTCAACTACACTCCCGCCTTTCCAGCTATCTTTAATAAATAACAATCGAAGTTTAGAAATTTTGTATAATCTCTCCTCGCACACTTCCGGCCTCTGCTACAAAAAAAATCCCAATATTGACTTAAGTAAATTAATGACTTGGAAAACTCTTTAGCCTCGATCAACTTCCGAAAATTCCAAACAATTAACTATACAAATGTTATCCGGATCGCACAACAGATTCACATAAACACATAATTAATTGATTTATTACGAAACACATGAAATGGAAAATTAGAACAAAATTCCTTAAAGAAAAAAAGTTTACAAAACATGTTTGGACAAATTACACCGCACGCAGGCGTTCGACAAATAAAATAAGAAAATCTTATAGTTTAGTTTCTCTTTTAATAATGCTAATAATCTGGTCGTACAAAGGTTTGCGATAACAAGACTCACTTAACTACACATACATACAAACTGAATAAGTCAATATTTTTACTTAAACGACTGCGCAGTAGTACGTCAAAAACAGTTATGCTTTCCGCGTATTACGCATTGATTCACAGTACTCTTGCTTATGCAATACTAGCGTGGGGTCATAGTGCTTCATGGAAGTTCATCTTTCGCCTCCAACGAAAGGCCGTACGCGTGATTAACAATCTAGTATCTACAGTACAGTGATGATTGTCGTCAATCATTCTCGCAACTAATAAAGATCCTAACTCTTCCTAGTCTTTATATTCTTGAGGCCTTGTGTTTTTGTAAGAAAAATATGGTGGAGAATGTGTTACAATCCCAGGTGCATTCATATAACACTCGACAAAAGGATAACTTAAGGGTGACTTTTTGCCGATTGTTGAAGAGCCAAAATGGTGCATCATACCAATCGCAATCTTTATTTAATATAGTTCCTCCGAAGATTAGATCGTTACCCCTGTCAGATTTTAGAATTACACTAAAAAAATTGTTTATTCAACACCCTTTTTTCTCATTTGATGAGTTTAACGACTTCTGTTGGAGTGGTTCGTAATTGTATCAGTCATTCTGTGTTATATGTTTTTTTATTTTTTTATTATGTTTGTTGTATTATATGCTAGTGTGTTCTTTATCTAATGACGAGTGTAAATGTATCAACATGTCTGCACAACAATAGATATTATTATTATTATTATTACACACACCAACGCTGCTATCGTCTAAGCGGCACTTTTCTTTAACACACAAAACTTTGTGACAAACAACATTCACTTGATGAATAAAATGACGAATTACCGGTGACTGTTCAGACAAACTACGTCTTCAACTAACCAAACCAAATTCTCACATACAGAGTGTTCCGTCGTTATTTTTGGCGTGTAGACCGAAATAACGTCAATAAGACGTAATTTGTATAATTTTTTAACAAAACTTCTACTACGCCTAAGCCTAATTCATATCGACCTCAAAAAATGTTAAACATTATACTGAAATTAGTGAACGAGCTTTTTACTTAAAAAGATCTTTTTGCTTTAGGGAAGCGACCACGATGACAAGTTACGCAAATTGCAGTCGGAAAAGGATAATCTACAGCTACAGGTTCAGGTTCTCACCGAGCAAATCGAAGCTCAAGGCGACAAAATTACGGATTTGGAAAAGGTTCTCATCGAGCGCAAGCAACAGTTGACTAATTCTGAGGATATGCTACAACGGGTAAGTGACTAACTAATGCAATTTCTTACTCGTTGCGGGCTGCCAAAATTTAGATACAGTTTACGAAGGTATATAGGATTTATCTGACTGACGGCATTGAATAAAAAATTAATTATTCAATGCTGACGGTAAGTATTATGTCGAATATTGTTTGGAATCTGACTGTGGCCTCCATGAATTCAATGTAGACATACCTATTAACTTTAATAGAAATACTAGGTACCTCACCTCACATTTTAATATATGATGCTGAAATACGATTAATTTAACTGAGTGCCCTATTTATTATACTGGAGCAAGTGTGTTACACTACCTGCCATATAATTAATCACAAATCTCATTAACTTTGTACATGGTTATGAATATGATTGATGTAGGTACATTGTACACTATTACGTACTTATACCCTTTAGTAGTTTGTCAATTAAAAAAATGCGCAAGTAATAAACCAGGGGAATTTTTGTGGAGTGATTTTTCTAATGTCAGGAGAAATTAAATAAGTCATCAAGATCACTAGTCTCTGAAGGCATCTAAAGAAGATTGTAACTTGGACGGATGTATCTCCTCGAGATGTATCACTTTCAAATTTTATCTACACCTTTCGACATTTCCTTCGTAAGATATGCTCACTTAAAATTCTGAAATTTATCGAAAATGTCGCTCAAATTAGGACTAAAAAAAATTTAATTTCCGCTCATTGCAGTCGTGTGTTATACGGTAAAAAGGATTTTACGAGGGGTTTTGCTAGAATGAATTGCAGGGTGCCCAATCTTTGAGCTGATAGGAGTAGGAATTTTTACGAACATAGGTTTACTGAAAATTTATTCATTTCTTTTTTTGAAAATTTTGTTTTTGAACTGAAATAAATCAAATTCGTGGCCACGTTCTTTTGAAAGTGGTACCTATTTCGTTCGACTCAGTTATTACTTATTTACACGATAACGATCTAACGGAAAAGATATTCACGCAGATATAGAGCTTTTTTTGTTTCATTCTATTTTCAGTATTTCGTTATTGAAGGCCGCATCATTTTTCTTATATACGTACTTAAGTCACGTAACTAAGGAAGCTGTTAAATTACACACGTTTCCTTATTATTCGTAAAATTGGACAGTACCCGTTGCATGCACTCTTTCATCTAGATTGTGAGTGGGTCAGAAAACCATTATCTACTCATCAATAGAGACCAATTAAATTATATTTTAGAACACTTATTTGCGACAATTAATTATAATATTTTTTTTATGATCTGTATTAGGAAATGCTGTCACGGTCATCTTTAGAAACGCAGAAATTGGAGTTAATGTCGGCGATTAGCGAAATGAAACTTCATCAGGCGGCGCTCGAAAGAGAAAACCTGGAATTGAGAAGCTCAAGATTTAATAATAATGGTATAAGCGGAACGAAACCACCTGTAAGGGCGAGGCCGTCTCCCCAACCTCACCATTCAACGCCTGTACATCACAACAGTAATCCTGTACGCATTTTATGTTAAATCCTTTTTTCGTTATCTCTAATTTGCTTGTTTTGCAGGGTATAAATGTAAGAATGTCGCCTTCTCCGAGTCCTGTCCCTACAGGCGCAATGATCTCTCAATCGCCGAGAAAGATTGAATCTAACTCTCCAGTACAAGATTTAGCGCAGCCTCCAAAGGTTTGTATTATGAAGTTTCGCTTACACGACGTAATGATACTGATGGTAGATGTTGAATGATTTGAAATATTTTTTATGCAATCAGAGATCAACAGATAATACTGTTATTCCAGTATTTTAGGTTTTGACTCGTGGTGAATACACGTTCCCAATCAGGCTTCAACTGCCATATTGATCAATACAAGACAAACTACTTTTATCATTATAAATACGTCGCCATTTGGAAAAGTAGTGGCCAACGTCGTTTATACACAGATAATCCTAGGATTTCAAAATATTAATTCATTATCCAGTGGCCCTATTGCAAACTGGCGGTCATAATCGATCCATAGAACAAATTAATTAAAGGAAATCTTAAGTACCTAATTACCTGTTAATAATCCCAAATATCCCAACGTAACTGCGTTATTCATGAACAGAACGCACAAACAAGCACAAAAATCCAACTGATGTTGCTTCTGACACTGGTCGCACTTAAAATTCGATTTAGACGACATTGGGTTCGTTGTAAGTACAGATGTAAAATTGGCTCTTTGGTGGTGGAAAAACTCCCTTTATTCTATTCTATTCTATTCTCAGGGGAGCCCGACCGGGCAGCACTTAGGCACATCAGAGGCCCATTGTGCCTACCCCCTTTCTTCGCAACTGAGTTCAGAGCCCGTTCCTCTCAATGAAGGATAGGACCCTGTTTAGCCTAAGTTGCTTCACCCTCCTCGGTTCCAGGTATCTGTCTCCAAGGAGTTGATATCTGTCCCTGATCAAAGCGTCACAGTGACAGACCACATGCTCGGTAGTTTCATCTGCCTCGCCACAGAACCTGCACGTGGACTCCTCCGCGAGCCCAATGTTGTGCAGGTGATAGTTGACCATCCAGTGTCCCGTAAGGACACCGGTGATCTTCCTAATCTGGCTTCTATTCAGTTTTAGAAGCTTAGAAGACCCCGATTTGCCAAGGGGCCCTGTTAAAAAGGCCTTGGACTGCCGGAGTCCGGTTACTTGTTGCCACTGAGCCTGGAATTGACTGGTCAACCAATCTTTAATCCTGGCCCTAACAACGGAGGGAGCAATCCCTAGGGTAGGCTCGGGCCCGACGAAGACTCCACCACTGCCTTCGCGAGCCAACTCGTCCGCCCTTTCGTTGCCCCCTATTCCGCAGTGCGCTGGCACCCAAATCAAGCTTACCCTATTAGACTCACCTAATCTATCTAGGGTTCGCCTGCAATCAAGCGCCGTAGCTGATCGGAACCTGTCTACCGACAGGGCCCTCAACGCCGCCTGACTATCACTGCATATGTATATATGCTTGTTACGGTAACCTCTACGGAGGTTTTCCTGTGCACAGGTCATGATGGCTAACATCTCTGCCTGAAACACGGTGCTATGCTGACCAAGGGAGACGCTGACGCTGGCTCTCGGTCGATCACCATATATACCCATGCCCGTTCCCCTTTCTGTTTGGGACCCGTCTGTAAACCACACGAGCCCCTCAGGTTTGAGGAACGAGCAATCCGAGTTCAGCCACTGCTCCCTATCCGGGAGAATGACTTTATAACGCTTTGGTCTTAGCAAGATAGCCCGGATCACGTCCCTCCTTGCGAGGAGGGGATCGGTTCTGAGGGTTTCCTCCCAGATCCGCCCGTGCCCAAGGCTGCCTCGATCCTTCCATTCATCCCAATCGTTTAGGCGTATGGAAGCCTTCCGAGCCTCTGCCTCCACAGCTAAGTGTAGAGGCTCTAGGCCCAGAAGTGCCTCCATGGCCAAAGTTGGCGTGGTTTTTAGGGCTCCAGTGACTCCCAGACAGGCGAGTCGCTGGACCTTTCCTAGCTGCTTCCTGTAGGTTACCCTGCGCATGGCAGGCCACCACACAAGTGCACCATACAGTATTATCACTGCAGTGTAAAGCCAGTATACCAGTCGAGGGTTCAAGCCCCATGTACAACCAAAAGCCCTTCTACATGCCCATAGACATGCAGTGGCCTTTTTGCTTATGCGCTCAATGTGTCCTTTCCAGGTCAGGCGGGAGTCAATGATGACTCCCAGGTATTTCACTGACCTGGTCAGACCCAGTTGACGTCCTCGAAGAGCGAGTCCAGCAAGATCCGCTTTCCTTCTATTCGTGAATGAAACAACCTCGGTCTTTTCCGGGTTAACGGAAAGGCCATGGCTACTGCACCACCTATCCACCTGTTCGAGAGCCCCCTGCATGAGCTCTTTCACGGTGTTTGGAAACTTCCCAGTTATGACGATCGCGAGATCGTCCGCGTATCCCTGTGTATACGCTCCCCCCTCGTTCAAGATGCGGAGGAGCCCGTCTAGTACCAGGCACCACAGAAGTGGAGACAACACCCCACCCTGCGGACATCCTCTAGTAACCGATGAGCTCATCTCCGTCATCCCAATTGAGGAGATAATGACTCTGCTTTCGAGCATGGCTCGGATCCATCTTACGATCGACCCATCAATACCAAAGCTCTCAGCAGCCTCACTAATCGAATCGAACGTGGTGTTGTTAAACGCACCCTCGATATCTAAAAACGCTCCCAGAGCTATCCCCCCGGAAGACATTCCCTTTTCCAGCCTGCACACCAGGCTGTGTAGAGCCGTCTCCGTGGACATACCAGCCCTGTAAGCATGTTGGAACGGATGTAGTGGTCTACTAACCAGTACGCCATTCCTTATGTATGCATCCACCAGCTTCTCCACCGTTTTTAGAAGAAACGATGATAGGCTGATGGGCCTATAGTCCTTCGCCACGTCATATTTAGCACGACCCGGCTTAGGTAGGTACACAACTCTTACCTTCCTCCAGCTTTCGGGGATATACCCTAAAGCCAGAGAGGCTCTGAAGAGATGCAACAAGTGTAAGAGCAGCGGCTCCAGGCCCTTCTGTAGAAGAGCCGGGAATATCCCATCCGGTCCTGCACTCTTAAATGGGCTGAACGTGCTGACCGCCCATCTCAGAGATCCCTCGGTAACCACCCGGGATGCTACCTTCCAGTTGATCGACCTTACACCGACCCGAGTAGCTCCCTTTGGTGGGTCCGAAGTTAAGTAGTCCCCGGAGCCTGGAAAGTGTGTTTCCAGGAGACATGTGAGAGCCTCACCCGCGGTAGACGTATATCTACCGCATGGAAGCCTCAGTGTCCCCACTTTTTGCCCCGGGTCCTTCAAAAGGATTTTACGAAGTTTTTGAACTTCAGGAAGACCTTCCATGTTACCACAGAAAGTCCTCCAAGATCCTCGTTTCGACCTCCGAATATGGTCCTTATACCTGCGCTGGGAGATCTTAAGATCTTCCCAGTCCGCAGGTAACTTAGTTCGCATGGCCCTATTAAAGAGCCTGCGAACCTCCTTACGAGCCTTTTCAAGGTCTGAGTTCCACCAAGGTGTTCTCTTCTTCCCTCGAAAGGTACGCAGTTTACAGCTGTCCTCATAGGACGCTGTTATGGCGTCGCTTACTAATGCGGCCGCCTCTTCCACCTGCTCTGCTTTCCGACAGAGCAAAGGTGGTCTATCCAACCGGTCCGACAGTTTTGCCACATAGCAGTCCCAGTCAGTGGATCGGGGATTCCGAAACCGGCAGGGCCCGCAGTGCAATGACAGGTTCAGTTGGAAAAGAATATGCCTGTGGTCCGAAAGCGACGGCTCATCAGACACTCTCCAATTCGTGATCATGTGAGCTATTGAAAAGGAGCCCAGCGTCAGATCAATGACCTCCTGCCTCCGCGCTGTGACGAAGGTAGGGGCTGCTCCCTGATTTAAAACATTCAAATCAGTTGTTTGCAAGTACTCCAGAAGGTGGTCGCCCCTCGAGTTCGTGTCCGTGCTGCCCCACACAACATGGTGTGCGTTTGCATCACAGCCAACCACAAGAGGGAGCCCACTACTTCGACAGTACTCTATCAACTCAGCCAGCTAAAACTCCCTTTATCTGATAGTTGAAGACCTTAAAGATCAACTGCTTGATAACGTTCACCACCAAACAAATAACGATTAAGTCCATCTCTTCTATTTAAAACAATTTTCCTTCTACACCTTCCACCTCTACTTATTTTTCAAAATTACTGCGTCGTCGAATAACTAACATCTGTGTTTACGTCGGCGAAAAACATCTGCTCATCTAACTTAATTAGCTAAACGTAGAACACTCTTATCGCGATGACCAGAGATAACATGAGGTGAAGTTTTACAGAACACTACACGCCAATCTGTATGAACGATAAAATAAACAAATCGATTATTTATACAAAATTACACATCATTAAATAAATAATCCTAAAACAAAATCACACTGACTTCAAATTCGAGAAACATGATCGAAATTGAATTCATTCTAAATTGGAGACCAACATTTAACATAAAAAATAATTGCAATTAAACACATATGGAGTGACCCAATATTAATGTAGGTGCCAAATAAAACGTCCACGTGACGTAGTTTACACAACACCATAAAGTACACACGAATGTGCTAAATGAGAGGAAAGGGAAAGGGAAGTGGAAGAGAAGAGGCTACTGGAAGAAACACAAACGGGATTCTAGATTTCTGGAGGCAGGGTACAGGTACTTGATAGGAGACCACCTTTGAGAATAATAATTTTTTAAGTCTTCACGATGTCATGAAAATTTTAACCAATCGGAAGAGAGAAGTGGGCAAATTTTATAGCTTTTTTTCACCCGATTATATAAAAAACCCAGGTTCAAGTGGTAAATCTGCAATAAACTATTTTTGTTACAGACACCTCCTGCAAACTATCGAAGACAAATCGATATACATTACGGCAGTCTACCTAGACAACAGTTCATCAGTAATGGTGAAATCGTTCCGGTTACAGATACAAACGCGAATACCGCAAATAATTCACGAAAAGGAGTGGCGTTCGGTAGGGGATTTTATTCATTACTTGGTGTTCGGGGCAGAGGACATTCTGTACCCAATTTAGGTGATAGCTCGTTTTTTGGCATGTTTGGAATGCTATAATCGAGCTACTAACTAAAACTTACAAATACTGTATATAGGCCTTGCGTAATAATTGGAGATAGGGTAAAAATTCATTCCGCAAGAATGACGATTGGTCAATAACTAGTTGATTGCTTGTGAAATGAATTTCTAGTACCACTTTTACCTAGACGTAAATCATAAGAAATTTGAATTAACGCCTGCATATAAAAGAGAATGACTTCCATTTCATTGCTTATCCAACATTTCTATACTCATTCTTTGTATAAACGTACTAAATTTCCAAATTAATTTCGGAGCAAGTATCATCATCATCTTTCAGTACTACTTTATTCTATAATCATAATTGTATTGTAATGTATTGTTGTATTGTAGCCGAAACGGAAAAAATTATAATAGACGAAAACAGTGATGGTACACCAAGTTCGCCATCTTTACAGTTCAACAAGAACAAGGGCATTAAGAAAATATTCGGCCGAATGAGAAGGTCCGGTTCCGGTAATTTGGAAGACATTCCCGGTCTTTCCGAATTTCAACGTGGTGGCGTTAGGGCGACAGCCGCGGCGAGGTTAGGCTGGAGCGAACCGTTGATTTTGACAAAGTGAGTATCCAGTTGTGTTAATATACCAGGTCTTTTTTGGGAGCTTTAAGACCAGTTGTATGATGTTGCGTCGAACCTGCGGTTGAACTGAGGTCATGATTAACATTTTATCCAATCATAAACGTTCAACTGATTCAACATAACTTATACCTGAGTTAGAAATTTCTGCGAATGTTGGGGTGGATCTTTGAAAATTTGTACTAGTATCTTACATTTTTGGATGCTCTGTGAAATTTTGTTTATTTTGATACATACATGTTAATATCTACCTTATAGAATATTTTGAAAATCCACTGTAGTTGTAGTAATTGAAGAAGTTGAACAGTATAAGGGTAGGAGCATGAACATACGGCTTATACAGAGACATACAAATAATTGATGCGTTTTAGCGTTTTGGTGGTGTTAAACAGGCTGTTACCTCCTCGTCTGTCCCTTTGTCTCCACTAGGCATCCTTTAATGATCTGGGCCTTTTTAACTTGGGAAGAATTCAGGAAATACTTAGTTAAAAATCAAGTGATATTGATGATCCTTTCTTTTTTGCCATGTAAATTCTCATTGTTCTTATCGATATTGCTATACTTTTTTCATTTTTCAGTTTATCGCATGAAAAGATTAGATCACAAACTTTTTCTTGGTTTTTGTTGGCGATTTCAGGCGCATACAGTGATGGCTTACTGTTAAAAGTATTGTCAATGCAATAAAATGAGAATTATTCAGAAAATATTCACTATAGGTAGAGGAACATGTACCTAATATATTGCAGTGTAACTCGCACCTTATTGCCCAATGTGGCTCACACAAAAATACAAACCGATGAAATGTCATTCAGGACAACTACCTAAAAAATAAATTAGACTAACCCCACTATTCGTTACTGAAAGTGACTTCAAAAGGTCACAATAACTAGTTAAACAAAATGTAATATTACGTTATTTTCACAAACAATCTTAAAATCTTTTATTTTACAAATAACCACTCGGCTTGCCTAAATTACAAGAGGTTCTAAATTTACTGGATTCATAGACACGTCACGATTTAAAAAAAAAGACCTTAGACACATTTATACTCGGAATTTTACAGTCGTGTAATGACGTCATTTTCGTGGGAAAAAACGTATGTCCTATTAAATTTATTTATTGCTAAGTAACTGACTACTGGTGTCTAATTACCTGTATGACTTTTACTATACAGTGGTGTACATAATATTTTAGCATTTTTTGATAATAATTAAGTCAATTTCCACAAGAAATCTATAGGTCTTAATAAAAGAAGAAGTCCTAATTAACTGACTGACTGACTGACTGAGATATCAACGCACAGCCTAAACGACTGAAGATATCGAAAATAAATTTTTAACATGTTAAAAAATGCGAATAGTTCATATTTTTTGCGAGCGAAACCGCGATGGATAAAATGTTAGTATTTCAAAAAAGGTCATTTACTCACTAATTATTTTAATAACTTGCTCAACTAACATATAAGTAATATTAACATATTTTTGTTTTTAAATAAATAAAGATTAACAAAACGAAAATCACAGAATATTATTTAGGAATCAATACTCCCGAAAAGACCCAAAAAATAATTAGCAGAGGAGTACATAAAAATTCAAAGAACCACTATCGAAACCACATCTACACAAGAAAAAATTGCACTACCTTGATGAATAGTTGGAAAATCAAAATCGTAAAACAAAAATATACCAATGCCAATTTATTGCGATTGTAATGGTCACAGTATTAGAAGAAAATTAGTCGCCTTCGTCCGTATCGTCAGAGTCAAAATCAAAGTATTCGTCGTCAGTAAGGTCGTCGTCAGTAAGGTCGTCATCTGCGTCTGTAGTGATAACAAGAGGTGGGATGTCAGAAGCATCACAAACTTGTACTGCTCCCCAAGCCTCTTGTATTACTTTGTCCGTATGGTTTACGTATTTCTCCCAATTATCCCTAGAAATCTCCCCGATAACCCTTTCCCATGTTGCCAAAACCTCTTGTGGTGATCCCTTAAAATTTGCAATGTACTGATCGTATTTTCGTTTACACTGAGACCACACCATTTCAATCGCATTAAATTGGCAGTGGTATGGCGGTAACCGTAAAATTTTATGTCCTAAAGGCTTAACATATTCATCAAGGTAGTACTTTTTCTCTTTGGGGCAGTTTGCGCTGACAATGCTCCATATTTGATCCTTCATTGCCTTTTCTGGATAGCCGATATTTTTTTCCCCTAACCATTCTATCATTCTTTGTTTTGTCCATGATTTGGTGGGAATTTTCTCTAAAAGGCCAGAATGGTAGCTTGCGTTGTCCATAATAATTAAAGATTTTTCAGGAAGATTTGGCACCAGTTGAGTCTTGAACCAATTTTCAAAATTACCCCTGTTCATATTATCATGATAGTCCCCTGTTTTTTTTCCACTTTTAAAAATCAAACTTGCCCCACCAATAAAGCCATCGTTCGTCCCAGCGTGGACAATAATGTATCGATGACCTAAAGAATATCTCTTTTAATAATATTGAAAAGGTATTATAATATCTTATTTTACCTTCATTGGGTTTAATTGATTCCGTGTGCTTAGTATCATCTTGCCAGCTGTTTCGAAATGATCCCTTACTAAATATCCAGGTTTCATCCATAAAAACCGGAGTATAACCCTCATGTCCCAAATTTTTGTTTTCAATGTACTCCCTTAAGAATTTTATTCGTTTGTGGACAATATCCGGTAAATCCATAAGATATTTTCTGTTATTGGACTTCTTCCATTTAAAACCCATACTTTTGATCCACTTTCTCAATGAATCAATGGAAAATTGAAAATATTCGTTTTGCTCCAGAAATTTTTGTCTAATAGTTGCCAGTGTAACATATTCCTTTTGGGAGTACATATAATAGATTGTATCCCGAATTTTATTCTTCAAATATTCTGTGATTTTCGTCTTGTTAATCTTTTGCTTGGTAGAGACATTAGATGCGTAATCTTTGTCGGATTTTACACCATTTTTTCTCAAATTTGAAATGGTTGTTGGGCTGACTTTCGTTGCTTGTGCAGTTCGCTGTATAACATTGTTGATGTCTAGTGGTATGCCACTTGTTCCTGTTCAATTTGAAAGAAAGCCAACACATTTAGAATTATTAACTGTGTTTGTTCGTTAAATCGATGAGGGTTTTTTGGCGGCATGTTTTGACGCTTTGGCGTTTTCAAAACTTCAAAACTGACAATCACTTGACAAGCATTTCAGGTAAAATTTAGCCACGACAACAACATTTCACAACAACATTTCGGCAAAATTTTTTGTCATTGTCATTTTACATTAGTTAAACAAGGATAGACAAAAATGACGTCATTACAAGACTGTAAAATTCCGAGTTTAAAAGTTCACCATAAGTTTTTCACTTCTAAATCAAATCTACCTAAAACAAATTTAAACAGCACTGACAAAAGTATAAAACAATGTCACTTACTTTTTTACACACTTGTATGGTCCACGCGGCGGCCTTCTTACCGTTGAATTTAGATGCTTGCTTCTGTTGGTTCTGATGATAATCGTCAGTACACTTATTTCCAAAAAACGATATAGACTGACTTTCACTTGTATTGCGAAAAGTCGACTGACGCAAAACTGGATACCGATGTAACTTTATTCACGTCGCAAAATTATGATGACTTGTTACAGGTCCATTTTTACTTTATTTTGCATTATTTATTTTGATTTTTAGGTTAGGAATTTGTTTATTTGTTTTGAATTCATCTCATAGGCGTACTCATTTTCGTAAATTTCTTCTTTTGATTTCTTCGCTTCTTTCGGTTCTGGTCCTCTTCTTACCATTTTGTCTTCCTTTTCACGCTCTAAACGCTTCTTCTTTCATTACTGTTTTCACTATTCTAATTTTCTAAGTTTATGTGTAATACATTTTATTCAATGTTACGCCTTTGATTTTTATTTATATCTATGCTCTGATTAAAGTCCCTAGATTACTCTAGGGACTTTAGCTCTGATTCGTTTCCAGGGCTATCTGTTGTTATTTCGTCTAAACTACGCTATTCTTTCCCGCTCTTTTCAAAAATCTTTTCTTCTTTTCCCGCTAACTTTTTATGTTCCTTAATTATTGGTATTACTGTTCCTTTTTTTCCAAATTTTCTACGTTTTCGATTATTGTCAATTTTGTCGTGTGCTAGTGAGGTGCGAAATTTTTATAGTCGCTAATAACCAAAAATTTTGGGATTACTACCCTCTTGAAGTTCACCCTACTTAATAAAAGCAATTAGTATTCATCCTTACAAACCCTATTTTGGGGATTAAGAGTAGAGGAGAGGCACACTTATATTTGTGATTTGCTTCTACAACCAATATATATTTTACCTCTTGCTCGCCGGATTTCAACCCCTTTTGTAAGTATTCGTGTTGTATCGTTTTCTATTTCTTCATTGCCTTTTAGGATCCGAGCGTTAATTTACTACCACCAATTTATTTAAGCACGCAAAATATTATATTGTCTCTACATTTAAGACCCCCACCATCTCGTAAGTAGCCTTTTTGTGCTAGTGTTACATTGTAATTTGGATCTTTGTTTTAGGGCCTTGTATTTTTTAGTTCTTATTTGTTATACCTGTACCTACTGCTATGATATCTTCAGTCGTCCGTCTTCAGTCTTCTATCGACGCCCTCAAATTTCTTTTCCATTTGATCCCTTCTACCCTCGTCCCTATCCTTATTTTTCCCATATTTAGCCACTGGTCTACAACCGTCATTAAATCTGCCAAACAACAGCTGGACAATTCAAGGAACCAGGAACAGCTAAACAACCTCCAAATTTATTTTATTTATTAACCCGTTAAGTTTTATTTAAAAAAAAGCATCCTTACATCCGTTTAATTAATCTTGAGTCAAGTTTTTTGTGTCTTACTGTGAGGCGAGATCTTGTACCGTTATTTTATTGCATCAATTCCCTGTATGTATACACGTATTTAATCCTCCATGAAATGAGAGGAAAAAATCATGTCATTTAAAAAACTGAGTTTTGAATCTTTAATTTTTCTTATACTTGGAGAACTGCCAAGGTCATATGTAGGCAACCCAAAAGTTTTTTATGTGCACCCAACAAAGTCCAATTTTTTCTCCACACGTGACACGTTAGTGAAAATTTGGGTACCACAAGTTTTCAAATATTGAATTTTCAAGTATCCTCTACCGATATCTACAATTTTTTTTATCTTAAAAGTGAAAATAACTATAAATGATAGTTATTGACATATGGGTATCAAAAGAAATAAAATTTCACATACGATCTGAAAATCCAATAAAAAAAGTAAGGATTTCCTCTTAATGTTCAACAAAATTGTATCAATTCAACTTTCAAAGTACAAATTTGAACATGTCTTCCCGTAAGATTTTTGCAGAAACTTCTAACGAGGGCTTCACAAAATCTTATCTATTAATTGAAAATAATTTTTTCATGTGTCAAAATACTTCAAGTTTCGTTCCATGCAATTATTGAAGATGGATGTGATGACCATAGGACATACATATAGCAAACATACCATCTGAAATACTTCAGTCTACATACAGGGTTTCCCAAAAGTCTCGGGACCAAACTATAACATTCAAAACGAGTGAAGAAAAAAATCTGAAAGTTTTGGGAATGATAATTACATTTTAAGGGGGATCAAACCTTAAAATCTTAAAATTGCATCCCCTGTCTAGTTTTAAATATAATTAAAAAATAGACGCGTTTCTTTTTTAATTACCTTTACAAGAAGGTAAAAATCAACAGGGGTTGCAATTTAAAAATGTTGGGGTCAAAAGTCGAGTGCGTTGACCGATCTTTTTGAAATTTTAAGCCATCTCTCTCTTTCTAATAACAAAATCAAACTAATCGCTGGAAGCGCTGTTGGAAGAGGGTGTTCACAAAGAAAAATGATACATGTTGACAAAGTCCTTCCGGGATTAAAACTCCAAACAACTTACAAAGGAAATGTCTGAAGAGGGTACCTCGACTTCTGAGTTCTGCATATTTTTCGCTTCCGCCTCCAATTCCGCTATTTTATATCGTGGTTGGGGTTTGTCAACTGAGTCAGCCATCAGATGTGTCACGACTCTTTTGTCCTTGTTTACTTTCATTCTTCTCATTAGTTCGTCGCGAAAATTAGTGCGTTTTGTCGCATAAACTAAATTTTTATGGCTAATTATTTGGTTTTTATCAAATTCATACTCATTTTTTACCCCGATACAATACCTCCCGTACTAACGTGCGGGTGGTAAAAAAGGGAATTTCTTCCCGACAATGCGATCCCATTTTTACGCCACCTAGACTTCAGCACTTTTAGTGAAATTTTAAATCTTAGTTTTAAATCTTAGTTTTTAATTTGCTGTTGCTCTCAGTGGCGCAATTTGATAGTATTGGAATAAGTGCATGAAACTTGGTACTTTGACATCATATATGTAAGAGAAGTTGTTCCATAATTATCCTGTAAATGCCTTACGTTAATCAATTTTAAGACCGGATAAACCATTTCCTGAATGGGACACGGAGAACATCTGCGATTGGTTGCAAGATCTAGGGTTAGAACAGTACATATCAGAAGCAAAACGGTGGATTAAAAACGGCCAACAGTTACAAGAGGTTCCGATTCAAGAGATTGAGAAAGAATTAGGCATAAGAAATGTGTTACATAGAAAGAAATTGCAATTGGCAATAGCCGATTCGTTAGAAAACGGATCGAGCGATCCTTACTTAGAAAAGGCGGGTAAACTGGACACCGCCTGGGTTTTAAGGTGGTTAGACGATTCGGGACTGCCTCAGCATAAAGAAGCGTTTTTAATTAATCGCATTGACGGACGTGTGTTGCATCGGTTAACGGTGGACGATTTGTCGGTGCTTCACGTTACCTCTCTTCTGCATGTTGCTAGTTTAAAACGAGGTATTCAGGTTCTTCGTGAAAACGATTTTGAACCTGGTTGTTTACAGCGAAGGTCGTTGCCGGATGATCCTGAGCAACCGACACCTAAACAAATTTGTTTGTGGACAACACATAGGTGAGCTTCTATATTATCTTCATTGATTGGTGTGCCAAGCGTTTTCAAATACAATGAAAGTGAATAGGTAGAAAACTATAGTCCTTCTCACCTTGGCTTTACAGTACAGGCAATGCAATCCTTATAGGGGTTTTAAGCGCAGCTATATCGATTTCTTTATAATATTATTTTCTTTAAATCATATTCTGATGACATTTGGCATCGTTGTTGACAATAAGAGCCTCTTCTGTACTGCCTGGGTAAGACGGACTATTGATCCGAACCTAGTCATTTTTTCACACATAGACCAAAAATGTAAATTTAATATTAAACATGTTTAATATGATAAGGGTAATGGAATGGTTAAGAGCTGTGGATTTGGCCGAATACGCCCCGAATTTGCGTGGCGCCGGTGTCCACGGCGGGTTAATGGTACTCGAAGATAAATTCACATCCGAGCTTCTGGCTACACTGTTGAATATTCCACCTGGAAAAACTTTACTTCGACGTCATCTCAATACTCACTTCAAAGAACTATTAGGCAAAGACATAATTCAAGAGAAGCGAGAGTCGGAAGGAACTTTAGGTTATATACCTTTAACACCATCTGCCAAATTGAAGGTATGCGGTTGCCGTTTCATCACGCCCAATTAATTGCTTATCTTCCCGTAGGTCACCAAGAAGTCTCAGTTTTCATTAAAACGCAAGAAAAGTAAAGGTGAAGTGGACTACGGCGATTTAGTTTGCCCGCTGAATCCGAACTGCGAAGGTGAAATGAATGGTTCTATTAGAAGCTCTATGGGTGTAAGTTACTAACCTCTAACAACTAACATTGTTCGCTCAGTTTCTTTATTTTATACTTGTGTAAAGTTACCAGAAATGTTCAGGTGAAGGTTTTAAATGAAGAAACCGAGTGCAGTGCACAATTAGAGAGCTATATATATTTTTCTGACCAAGCAATAATGCTTTTTTAACTTGGAGATGGCGATGGCGGTTTGTTTTCAAATCTACATTCTCTTTCATGCTGTACATGGATATAGGTACCTGAGATTTTAATCATCGAATGTTGACTTTATTTTAAATAATTCTCCGAATTATCTGTGTAAGATGATTGTGATATAGAATTTTTCTGCAAGATAGAATAGTGTGTGCATAGATCTAGAATAGTAGGTTGTAGTTTGTCAACTTTTCAGTTTCGCTTATAGACTTGCTGCTGCAACATTTTCCTATATTAAATTCATGATGCTAAGTACTTGAGTGCTTTGTAGACGTCAAATATTTTATGCCATATCTGAATTGTTTATTTTATTTAGAATTGCACTATAGTAACAATATTCTATAACTGTCCCGAGAGTGTGTTTGTTGAATCTTCAAAAACCTGTGCGCTGTGTTGTAGTTTGGAATATTTGATATGTAGGTTTTTTTAGGAACTGAACAAATTTGAAGTTTGTTGAATTGATAATGACAAACATTTCAAAACACAAGAAATGAAAATTAAAACAAAATTCCTGAAATAAAGAGTGCTTGAACAAATTACCCCGCACGCAAGCGTTTGACAAATAAAATAAAAAATTTTAAAATCATGTACTTACAGTTTTTTTCCTCTTTTAACAATCTTAATAATCTAGTACAACGGTTTTGCTTTGACAGAACTCGTCCCCACTTACGCCGAATTAAATGCTATATGCTATTCGGAGCATCTCAAATTGCGTCAATTTATGTCGTAATTTTCTGAATGATAATGGTTTTCTGATTTTTAATTCTAATCCCAGGAATTTTCAAAAATTCTTTACATAATTTAAATGGCTTTGTCCAAAAACGCAGGGAGAAAAAGAGCACACATTTTAAGATTTTGTAGCGCAAAAGACAATTTTGGATTTTTGCTCGAACAAAATATATCATTTTTTCTATGTAGCTACTTAAATGATGGACTTCTGTACTGTATTATATTGTATATTGTACACAATTTCTTTAGTGCTATTGTGTTACTATAGTTATGTGTCTATTTTTTCTGACAATTCAACTCATGTATAAAAAATCACATAAGCCGCAGTGTAATTGTCACTTTGACAGCGGCAAAAGTTACCTGCAACTTTTCCAGCGACAAATGCACTAGTGGTTTTTTCACTTATTCATTTTCGAACCAATAATCGCATTATCCTTACCCATATGACTAGTTTGACGTCTGTCAATAATTGATTAGTTTGGTGAATTTCTTGTTCGTTAAATTGTCCTGCCGAATTACACTCGAGGTTTGTATTTAAACCGAATAAATTTGGGTTGTGGCAATTCAAATCTGTTTCCTTTTAGCAATTGGACTCGAAAAACTGTCAACCTAAAAATGCTCCACCTGCGGTGTCGCATTTTTATTAGTTGACAGTTTTTCTCGTCTAATTGCTAGGCAACAGATTTTCATTACCTTAACAACCCAAATTTACTCGGTAAAATACAAACCTCTTGTGCAATTATAAGTGACAATTCAACTCATGTATAAAAAATCGCATAAGCCGCAGTGCAATTGTCACTTTGACGGCGGCAAAAGTTACCTGCAACTTTTCCAGCGACAAATGCACTAGTGGTTTTTTCACTTATTCATTTTCGAACCAAATATCGTATTATCCTGTCCCATATGACTAGATGACGTCTGTCAATAATTGATTAGTTTGGTGAATTTCTTGTTCGTTAAATTGTCCTGCCGAATTACACTCGAGGTTTGTATTTAAACCGAGTAAATTGGTGTTGTTGCAATTCAAATCTGTTGCCTTTTAGCAATTGAACTCTAAAAACTGTCAACCTAAAAATGCTCCACCTTCGGTGTCGCATTTTTATTAGTTGACAGTTTTTCTCGTCTAATTGCTAGGCAACAGATTTTCATTACCTAAACAACCCAAATTTACTCGCTAAAATACAAACCTCTTGTGCAATTATAAGTGAGAATTTAATGTTATTACCTGAAACAATCGAAGCTGAGGTACAGGGTATAAGTTAACATCATATGAAAAAATTTGATGAAAAGAGTTACCGTAATTAATGATCACACAAAGTCACTTGTAAGTGAAGTTCGATCATAATTTTTAGAAGCGCCCAACTGAAAAGTTATTGTACAGGGTGGCCAAATAAGAATGCGAGGTACTGTATCTGGGAACCTATCCATCGTAGAGGCTTGCGGTAAAAAAATTTATACTAAAACGGCCACGAAAAAAACCTGGAAGATATTTTTAAGTTTCTGCAATGGCGTAACTGCAATCTGGAATCTAAAAAAGTGATTTTTTCTGTGAATTCCGTTATATTAACCTAACAAAAAAATGTCCGGTCTTTGAAGTTGACGATAATCTGAACCTTTTTTGTTTGACAATTTTTCTTGTATCTCTAAAAATGAAGTGGTGGGTGATATTCAAAGGTTGCCGTAAAGAACACCCTGTATCTTCGAAACGGCTGAGCCGATTTTAACAAACTCGGGTTAATTGAAAAGAGTTATTTTTCGGCTACAAATATTATAATTCCGACAGAAAAGCTTAATTTTTTCAAAAAAATTAAAAGCGTTGGTTTGATTTTTTTTCATGAAAAAGTAGCTAAATGATGCCTAAACAAGCTCGCGAAAACCACATCTCGATATCTTGTTCCTAACCTAAAATTTAGGCCAAAGAAAATTTTATACCCTCAAAATTTTATTTTTTTAAGCTAATTTTTTCGGAATTATTTTTATTATATAATTTGTGGCCCTAAAGGTTTTGCTCGTGGCCCTTTTAGTAATAAATTTTTTACTGCAAGCCTCTATGATGGATAGGTTCTCAGATACAGTACCTCGCATTCTTAGTTGGCCACCCTGTAGGCTGTACACTGTAGCTACACGTATGCAATACTATTTATTGAAAAAAGATTGCTATAATGCAGGTGCATATTTAAATTTGTAAATACAAATGCAGGCAAACTCTACAAAGTACTCAAGTTGTCTATGTCAATGATTAATTATTGATTTAAAGTGATAGTAACCATTATCTTTGTTCACTACAGATAAAAAGAGTAGAAGAAGTAAAGGAAGAGGCTGTCTCTCTTCTCAGTGATGATGGATCTCTGACTGACTCATTTTCTCAATCTCCATGTGTGTCTCCTTTACCAGACAGACATCTAGTCTAGTCCGTATTTTGTACAAGGTTTGATTTTGTAATGTTTAATTTATAAACAAAATATTTATTATTATAATTATACTTTAGGTGGTCACAGAATGTTTAATAGTAGGTACTTCAGACAAATTTGCTAAATCATTAAATGTTACTAATCATCTAATGAAACTGCGCATAACAATCAGTGCCGAAGCTGACTTGACCTCCCTCATTTTATATAAGCTGTATTTGTTTGTTTACCTTTAATGACTTAACATATTTGTCTGTATCGTTCAAGCTATAGTTCCTATGTCATTCATTATTGCTGTTTTGTAAAGTGTATAAAGAATATCAAGTACTGCAACTTTCAAATTTAACTGTCTTAAATATCTGTGATAGTGCTACTTTCAGAGATATATAAAAATTTGTTATATGTAACAGGGGACACTTACATGTAAAAGAATGCATAGGAAGCTATCATGATACTGACCCTATAAAATGATGCATTTATTATTAGTATTTTGAGTATTACATACCTATGTATCGTTACATTATTAGGTACGAAATAATCAGACTATAGAGGTGTAAAGGTAATATAATATTTTTAGTCTTCCCCAAAATGCCTTAAAGTATATAGAGATGGCAAACGTAATAATAATTGAAACTGAAGAATTGTGCCAATTAGGGTATGTATCATCTATTTTCACATTAAATATCAATGTTTTTTATGGTTTGTATCGCACTAATTAATCATTCAAATTTTTACATTTTTTTAATTGAATAATGTTTGTATCGGAGTATTTAATATTGTTACCAGAACGTAATTTTTAAGGCACATATATTTACTTAACCCGTAGCAGTAGATGTTCAAGAACTGACCAAATTTATTAATGGACATAGTTTAATTGTAACAGAAGTATTTACTTGTAATTAATATAAACAAGTTAATCTTTATTAAAAAAAGCATTATTTAATAATTGCTTCTTATTTACATTAGTTCAGATCATGCATTGTGCAAAATTAACAAAAAAGGATGTACCTGCTTCTGAAATTCTGAAAGCATTGACGAAAAGTATTACAACTATAGCAGAGGGAACACACAACAAAGAAGAAAAATAAAATTGATCATAAATAGCTAGAACAAAATAAGAAAGCCCTGTCACATGACTATATATGGCAACGTAAATGTGCATAATGTGGTCTTGTGACAATGCTCCTTTATTTTTCTGTTTCTCAATTTCCTTCAAAATTCATCACGTGGATTTTTTAGTGTTGTCTTTTTGCTTTGTGTTATACGATTTCTTGGTATCCTTCTCTTCCTCCCTCTTCTGAACATGTTTTCAGTATATTCATGTCAGTGTAATTTCATTTGATCGGTTTTTAGTGGAATTTTTCGAAAGAACAAACCCGACACACTCAGTAGTTTGGCATTTAGCGACTTCTGAATCAAATACAGAATTTTGTGCGTAAGACAAGAACAAAAAATCTGATACAACTGAATACTGAACGATCCACGAGATCTTCACATATACATAATTTTTACAACACACCTGTCCCACCAGATCAGCATAGCAGACATCAGCAGATAGACAGCAATACAAAATTATAAACGATCTCGAAAATCGTTAATAAAATATATTACGCACACAACCCAGCGATACCAGGCAAACCTTCTTAGGGACAAAAACCCCCTCATAGCCCAATTGCAAAATGTAAGAAAAAATGCACAAATAAAACATTCTAAATTGTACTATAAAAATCAGGTAATCCATTCAGAAAAACAAAATACACGAGACATAATATCTAAATGAAAATGGAAAGTATGATAAATCAATTTAGTACAAAAACACCGATTGGATAAAACAACTCGTAAAATTATAAATTGTATATGTACATAAAAAAACGTTAAAAGCAAATTGCTATACTCCAACATAGACTTCAAATAATTTAATATGAATAAAGTAAGTACTTGAGAATGCCAATATGGTAAGTATTCATGTTAAAGTTCATTTTCGCTCAAGCAAGTCGCATAAATAGGAGAAATATGTTAATGTCTCTTTCTTTCTCGTAAATCTTATACGTACCGCCGACCAGCGGGCCACAAGTAAGAGAGCAACATATACAGCGAGTCACCAGCTGTACTTACTCTTTTCCCAGAATATACTCATACAAAGAAACATCAAATTTGAGGACCCCCCTTCTCATATTGCTTACACACCATCCGGCAGTGGGCATGAGAAAGAAAGAATCAGATGTACGGGAAGAATTGGACTGTATAAAGTACTACTTCCTTCAGGGGATAGTTAAATCGAATCGTGCAGAGCAACAACACACCTAATAATAATTCCCACATGAATACATAAATAAATGAAGATAGTGGCCTAATCAGGTGTAGGTACAGTATGACAAACAAACAACTCGGTAATGGTACTTGAACAAAAACTTGAAGTACGTCACGCTTCAATATCAGGGCAACAAATTCTGACATAAATTCAGTGCCTAATAGTTCGTAAGTATAAGAAAGACGAAAAGGACTACTACCTGTAAATACACTTTTCAAAACACAAGAAACAAAATGAACGCTGGACCCGCCACTACACTCCAGTGCGGTTCGGATTCCAGTACCGTTAACTGACGCTGTGGTGTAGATAATGAGTTGACATTTTTTTCAGGTAGGTATACAGAACAAATCCACTTCTCTCGAAGGTTATTGCACTAAAGATTATTAATCATGAGCTAGCCGTCGGAATAAACTTTTGCGGAGGTTTAACAGTTTTGTAAAAATCCATCAGATCACGCCTTAAGTACAGTTTATTTATTTATTTTTGTCTTTATCTTTGAGTGGGCGGGGTTTCAGTCAGGGCTGCTCTACCAACCCATGCACACCATGAATTTATTGCTTTTGTACTTGAAACTTTCGGAGTTTTCAATGATACCGCCAAGCGACCAATGGCGCAAACAACTGGGAAAATGCTTATAAACTTTACAGGTGAATTAAAGGATCAGCCTAGAAATTCAACGAGGAAATGCTACAGCATCATGAGATCCATCCCTTGATAAAATTTGCTATTGATAAATTAAATGTATTTTTCATATTGTTTGTAGTTGTGTTTTCGAGGTTTTTATCTTTTTATTTTTTCTTGTGGACAGACTCCTTTTCGTCTTCATCCTCAACAATGCCAGGTGAGCTTATAGCCGTTTTGGCCGCGTCGTGTTGGTTTTTTGGATCTTTTAACATGGTAATCTCATCAGCAGATGTTTTTTTCTTTCCGACGGCAATGGAGCCCTTTCGTCCCTCTAGATACTTTTTCCTTTCTTCTTGCGCATGTTGCATCGCCAATCGTTCGGCATGGTTGAGTTGCGTTAATCGAGGATCCATCGCCAACCAATCCGAGTTTAATATCTGCTCCACCCTCCACCGTTTTGCGATATCGGGTTCTAGAAGATGCGCCGCTAGTTTTTTGACTTGGTCACTTAGTACATCTACAAATTTGGCCCGAAAACGCCAACGTTTATTAGACTGTTGTTCATATAGCCTTTTAATATTTGTGTCATCAAATGGCATAGCTTTATTTAACATTATGTACAAGATAACTCCCAGAGACCACAAATCCGCAATTTTCGGATGGTACGGCATTCCTCTCAGAATTTCTGGTGCTGCATACGATAACGAACCGCAGTACGTTTCGCTGGGAATATTTTTTCCATTACAATCTACTATATAGCGAGCAAATCCGAAATCAGCCAATTTCAAATTGTAATTATTAGTTATCAGTGCGTTCTCGCATTTTAAATCTCTGTGTGCTATTTCCATATCGTGTAAATACTGAAGCGCAAGTGCTAATTGACGTATCCAGACTCTGGCTTGCGGCTCCGATATTGACCCTTTTTTCAATATAAACTCTAACAAATCTCCATGCTCAGCGAATCGCATGAAGATGAAATATTTTGTTTTTCTTTGAAAAATACTATGCACGTGAATAATATGAGGATGATTGAGCTTCACTAGTATTTCTAATTCACGGGGTAAAAATTTCTTCACAAAATCCTTCGGAGCTTTTACTGTATCTATAACCTTGCATGCCAAATTGCTTGGCGACTTAGTACTTTCACCCACGGAGTTCTCCCGCAATTTAAATTCCGTCAAGTAGACTTTTGCGTAAGATCCCTCTCCCAATTTCCGAAGTAATTGGTATCCTCTGGATTGTAATGTGGCTTCTTCTGATGGACTCTGTCCTAAATCGGCCGACATTGTAGATTTATTTAGGGTCCCATTTCGATTAGTGTGCACTATAATTTTGACAAAGTGTATTTGTGGTTATTATGTCAAATGTTTGTTGGTAGGCAACAAAAATAGGGGGGGCTCTCTTATTTGATGTTTGTGTTTACGAGTGGTTCATTCTGTCTCCGTGGAGTAGGTTCCTAATACAGTTCGATCTTTCGCTGTATCTGTTGCCTACTCGTCTCGTGCGGATTGCAGTTCTTAGCAATGCGAGTAGGGGCCCTCTCATTAACATTTCCACTATTTAAAATATGTTCTGCTTGAGCGATAATCGATTTTCACATGAATACTTGCTATTGGCCATTGACATTCTCACATGTACTTTTCGTGTTAAATTAAATTATGTTAACTGAAGGCTGGAAGTAGAGCCACGCCATTTTGATGTTTCCTATGTACATGCAATTTATTATTTCACGAGTTGTGTTATCTCAATTGATCGTACAGGTATTTTGATGTGTTTTTGTACTGAATTGATTTATCATGTTTTCCACTGCATTTATGATGTCTTGTGTATTTTGTTTTTATGAACTTGTTTAATTGCATTTATAATAATGATAATAATAATGACCTTTATTCACATATTATATACAAAAGTAACAACACAAAAATGAAAAATAAGGCATAACGATATATTAAATATATAATAGTGAAAGGGTGAAGTTCAGACTAATTGGTCTGCTCTTCCACTTTACCCTATGTAACGGAAGCTTGTTAAATTTTGCAAGTTTTGTGGATTTCAAAATTATATTCGGGTAGAAATGCGTATCGATGATTCAGATTTCTGTGAAGTTGTAATGTTCATTAAAATTAACAAACATTTTTTTTCGATCTAATTAAGTTTCAAATCTCGTAAAATATAAGATGAGTTATTGGTTTTGGACTTCCTATTTTGGGCGAGTTAACGATTAGTACGTGATTTAAAAAAGGTCACCGGTTAAAAGACGCAATAGATTCTAAGAAAAATATGTAATAAAACAGCGAGGCTAAAAAATTATGAGTTTGTTTATTTCCGGAAACTTGATGGGAGCGTTAATTACGGGCGTTGGTTTACTCGCGATATAAAAACCAAAATGATCAGAAATTTGGAAGCTTTTTGCGTAGATATTCACGCGGAGCGTGGTACCACCGCGGAAAACGCGGCCACCACTTATAAAGTTTTTTCGTAGATATTCGCACGGGCGAGTGTCATCGCGGAATCGGGCCATTTAAGTAAAAAGGCCCAAACCAAATAAAATTTGTTGCGCGTATTAATTTAAAATCGTATTGTTTAACCTGGAACAAGTTGGTCGTTCTGGAATAGTGAATTGTTCGGAAAGTATTAATCATTGAGTAACTGCAGTTTAGTTTAACGTGCGATTGAAAGACTTCCGTTCAGAAATTATATAAAGTACGAAAAGCGCGCTAGGAAATTGTTGTTCAATTGGGATTACGCGATTGGATTTAATAGGCGAAGATTGAGAATAATCTAAATCATCCTCCACTACAATACCCACCATCTAAAAAGGGGAAGAATACTACTGTCTAAATTGTAAGTTATTTTTATGAAAAGTTATTTACCTAGAAATTTATTCATATAAAATTTTTATTTTGTCATTTTATAATTGTTTTTTGCCGAATGGTTTTATATAGATAGGATAAATATAAGTTAGAAGTTAGAAGAATATTCATTGCTGTAGGTATTTAATTAAGTGTTATATTAAGTAAATTTAAATATTATTCAGATTCAGGATAGATGTAAGTAATTGAGTAATTAAGATTTAATATAAAAATGGAAATCAATTGTGAGTGCAGTGGAATTTGGATTTATTTTATTTTTTTCAATATAATCGGTTTATTTATGTAGATTTATTTTTTATCAATCAGAAACGTGAGACGGTAATAGTAGGGCTATTACACCTAATATACACTTCATTTTTTTTTATGGCGAAATGAGTGATGTTTCTCTTAAATAAAACGGTATACCTGCGTTTGTTAAAAAAATGTGAAAATGAAACTAGTAACAATGTAGAAAAAACACAATAAAAAAAAACTTAATGAGTTAAAAGAACTGGTGAAAAATGGATTTGACTTCTATAAAGTAAAAGTCGCGTTTGTGTTTTAAAAGGCTTCAAGGAAAGATTTTTGATAAAAGCTGGCATTTGATTTGATTATCTGATTTTTATCATACAATTTGAGATGTTTTATTTATGTGTATTTTCTCTTGTATTTTATTAGTGTAGGTGATTTATTTCATGTATTTGTGTGGCCTTATCCCAAGGTTTTAGTCCCGTAGAAGGTTTCCCTGGCATGGTCTTGTTGTGTGCGTAATATATTTATTTGTTCTTGTCATTTCTTACGCACAAAAGTTCTGTCTTTTATTTAATTCCCTTCCCGATTACACAACGTAGGAGTTCATTCGTGCCACCCATATCGATCCGACTGCCATCCAAATTCAAAAGTGACGCGAAAGGTCCATCGTTTTGATTTGAAAGGTAGGTGGCTCTGCTTGTAGTTTTTTCCCAGAGTTTCCAAGGATAAGTAAAGAGTAAGTCAACGTTTTCAGTGTCGACTTGATAGACCCCTAGGAACATTACAAACGTTTCTTATTTTTAGTATGTGGGGTCTGGTTGTGTTATAATCCACTTGTAATGTACTGAACCCCCAGGTTCTATGCCAACTTCACACTACAATAACACGGAAATAAAATCAACCCGGCAAGGTTCAAAAATTGCCCTCGGAATGTACTCTCTCCAAAACTAAACATATCCCACTTACATTTGAAACTGAAAAGTGGCACGTGATCAAACATCCAAGACGGCCCCCCTCACGCTATGATCTGAAGTGCAGTAGGAGGGAAGGATCAGAAAATAAGTAATATAATGGCGTAATAGCATAATTAGTATTTTGAATGTCTGCTCAGTTATTTTAATAGTTCGAATCTCGAATGTGCAATAGTGAAACTGTGGTTAATGTATAAAATAATTTGTTGTAATTGATTGATAATGAAGCATGATAAGTACTAATCCTATACACAACAAAACATAATATAAAAACAGGTTAAAAGCAAGTTGCAAAACAAAGAACTGGCTGACCAAGCAAGTAACAAAACAAGGTAGCTGTACAACTGGTGACTCATCATTGGTGCAATAAAATCCCTCTATTAAAAGCAAGGTAGCAAATTACGTAGCCTTGCTGGCCAAATCGCACATAGATTCTGTAATGATGTGAAATGTTATAAGATTAATTTGTAATTTGATTCCTGTAGGAATTGGAAATTAATCTAGATTTCTATCAGGAGAGGGCGGTAGTTTCAAAGACGTCATGTTTGTGGACATTCCCACCAGTACGATTACCATCACCATTACATTCCCACTTCCTTCCACAGACTATATAAACAGAAACCAGACCAGAAAGGGGACTCGTCTTAGAATTGTTTTCCTGATCCTAAGAAATTCTTTCCTGTTTCCTGGTCAGACGTTAGCGATTGTAAATCGCGCTCTGACACCCGCCCCGTTGAATAATTTACCTCAGACGTGCCGGTTGTAGTACCGCGCTCTGAAACCCTTCCTGAATTAAAAGTGTACGGCCGTATAGCCGTGCTGTTAATTTGGGGTTACCTGACTATCCAGTACAAAGAGGTGCAGGTCGTATGACCGCGCTCTTCCTTTTACCATCCGTGGAAAAAGTATACGGCTATAGCCGTGCTCAGAATTAGGTTATCCCTGTGGTGAAATTTCGGTAGACGCTGCGAATGTAAATTCGCGCTCGACTGGAACCAGCCTTCCTGTAATCTACCCCGAATATTGTTGTACTTGAGCTTCTAACGTAAAACTTACTTGATTTGTATTGATCCCGTGTAAAGTTAAATCATAGAAGTTGTCTTTGAAACTACTTACCGGTTGTTCATACCTGGAAGCTAACGTGATGTCAGTTACAGATAACAAAACTACCACGAGTGTCAATTGTCCCGGTCGACCCCACAGAGTTGTATATAAGTAAATGATCGAAGATAAGTAAATACAACTCTGTGGTCGACCCCTCCTACTTGGGTCGCATTCAATGATTTTTAGTTTTCTTTATTTTGTAAATATTTTGTGTACATATATTTGTTTAATTATATTTTCTTGTATTATAACAAGGTTTTAGTTTATTAAAAGTGGGGACCTGATATCTCCGGCTGTAGAGCTACGCAGCATCTCCCGGTGAACCTGAACCATAGGCAACCAACCATACAGTGTTGTATGGGTGAACAGGAGGAGATTTAGGAAAGGGAGATTTTTGGAGGTCCTTGGGTTACCAATAGGCAAAGGGTAGCCTGTAACCATTAGGACCGTTACAAACCGAAGAGTTTCTGTTAGCAGAGTATCTCACCCCTTCCTTCGTCCAGGGAATTCAAGCCCATAGTTCAAAGTCGAGGTTAGTCCCGGTATTAGATGTCGTAACTAATGTGGTTACAGTTATTTGCCATTCCCGTGACCGCCTCATTTCACCACGAAAATGTTAGTTTACAAACAACACGACAGTACACACATTAAACAATTCGATAAAATTTAACTTCGGGCCAAGACCATGCAATCTGCAAAATATAACCATAACTAGCCGTATCAAAAATCTCAACCTAGAATATTCTAGATTTTTAATATTAACGCCTGCGCCCAGTTATTAATTGTTAAAAAAGCATAATCCACAAAATAATGGAGTAGGCTTTGGAAAATGTGTATAGTAAGAGATAGATGGGCGGCATAAAAGCTCTTGGGACGCAAAAAGTGAACTTTTTTTTTCTAGAATGCTTTCATACTTGAGCCAGTTTGCGGAAAATATTAACGTGAAGCTGATATAGGGGTCTGCACTTACTGCCATTAAGAGTAATGAACTTTCTGACCGACTCGTCAAATGCCTTTTATAGCCCAACTGGTATTTGGAATTGCACATGCAACGGTTGGAAACAAAAACGATTCTGAAAGAGTGTCGTGAAGAATACTGGAGAAACATCTCTGGTCAGAGACGAGCATTCTACTTAATCTGTGGCTCTACTAAAGGTATTCTCCATAATATGGGTCTCGAAGTACTCACTTTGTAGGGGGTGCCAGAAGGAAGCATATACTGTGAAGTATACAACAGGCGCAAGCGTAGGAATGCTACATATACAAGCGATGCTATTATCAATAGTCAATATAGGATGTTAGATTTCTTTATAGATATTGAGATCCTAATTCCTAAGGGAGCAGACTAAAACTAGAGGGCGTGGTAATGAGACCACCTCTGATAATAATAATTAATGGGACTTCATTTATTATAAATTAAAATCAATTAAAATTGCTTACTTGCATACGACAATAAATTAAGAACTATCCAGTTACAGAGCTATTAGAATATGTTTGCTTATATTGATAGTAATGGGCACCGCACTGTCTTGCAAAAAAAAACTGTAACAGGACAAGTTTCCACTTTGTCTTTTACTAGTTCCCTTAAAATTATTTAGGTACATTAACTCTTAAAAAATTCCCCCATAATTGATAACCTCTGCAAAAACGGTTGAGCCTTGCAAGTTAAAAGATTGAACTCATTCTGCCATGATGAATATTTGGAATGTTTCTTTTCAATTCTGATCCTTTCTAACATAAGTTGCGGGTCATGCTTGACTTGGGCTTGGACAGTGACATTAGGCAAAATACTGGGAATTAAATCGTAAATTTTCTTGTCTAGATCCTCTCTAAATAATGAATCGTTGAAACTGATTTGTGTTTGCGCTTCCACTTCAATCGTTCCCTTAATTTCGATCTCATCAGCCTCTGCTAACTTGATTTCATCGAATGACTCCCTCACAATCGTATTTAAATTATCGTCCAGCACTTCGACAGTTCCTTTATTTATACTTAATATTTCGCTTATATTATCAACGATCGATTTGACCTCCACTTGTATGTTCTCCTGCGTGTCATCGGCGAGTTCTTCACAGTTTTCCTTCGGAGGGATGAAACTGGTTTTGCGTTCTTGAAGGGTTTCACCTCTGAAAGTCTGCTTCATCTCTTTTAAACTGTCAAAATTGAAAAGCTTCTCTTTTGGTTTATCGTGACAGCAATACAAAGCACTGGGATCAATTGGATGCGCTTCTGTGTTAAATATATAACCCCCAGCTTCGATAATGCACTCGCCGTTTGGAGTGTTTACAACTACACCATGATCGCCTTGATTATGAATAAAATTCTCTGTATCGAACAGAAGGTAAAGATACTTGGTAGTTTCTGCTAAAAAGAAGGATTCCATTCTGTCTTCCTTGCGGTGATCGCGCACATCCTTAATCTATAAATATCAAACATTATAAACTTGTGATCGGCCTTACTAATCCTAAATATCATACTGTTTGTATTGTTACTAAAACATCACTCAACCATACAAGTTATTTTAATCTAAACACTCATTTTGCATGTTGAAACAAATGGAAAAATGCAAGTGTCTACACATTAGCCGGTTTTTGAATTTTAATTCTGGTAAATTAGCTTAGCTGTGTTAAATACGATTTTAAATCAACTTACAGTGGCATATCCGCAAGGTGTTTTTGCGCTATGTTGAATACTTCGCAAAATATCGACACCCATTGATATTAGTTGCGGATCGCCGGTAGCACGATATAAGTACATGATGGATTCGATTAATTCTGGCCGCAGTGGATAATTCTCTCTATCTGCGCCGGCCTCGGCCTGGGCTATGTTATAAAATTCTGGCGTAAATCCGTATTGTTGCCACACCTGGTGGTAATTGTGTAACGTTTTCATAGCGGAACTGGTATCACCTACGCATAACTAATTATTAAGCGCAGCGCGCCGTTTGTCAATTACCGATCAAGCTCAACACCCCTGGCCAGTAAGCTTCGAGTGATTGAAAAACCGGCAGCGTAACCTGTCCCTTGGTCATAGAAACCCATAAATACCAGTCTTCCCTTTTCAGATATTTATCTATAGAGCGTCTCGCTTCCCAAAATATTTTCATTAATTCCGGTTTTTGCAGTAGTATACTTCCCTTGACCAAGTACTCAAAGTATGAATCGACGGCGGCGCCAATTCCGGCATCCTGTGCGGTCCAATGACCGGTAAGTACATCTATGTGATTACCATACAAACCTAAGTGGGAACGCTGCTGATATAACGAATATATAGCGTTCATGGCCACCTGTAAATATTGTGGTCACACAAGAAAAAAGGTTAGTAGCTTACCTCTTCGTATAATGGATCGCCTGTAAGTCGGCTTAAAGTACCAAATTCTAAAATAAAAGTACCGATGCCTGCAGTGCACGTCACAGCGGTTTCACCAACTGGAACTCCATGACGTAGATTTACAGTTCCGTACGGCATTCCCGATCTTGTATCAAATGCAGTTATCAACCTTTTGGCTACGTCTTCCGCTAAGCGTAGCAAAGGACCGTTACAAGGCCACCCAGGTTCAACATCAACACCTGCTCTAAAAATGGGACAAATTGGAATTCATTCTCCAAGTGTTTCACTAAATAAAGTAGAAGAGTGCGAATATCGCGGTGCAACAGAAAGGGGTATTCACAAAGTAAAAATGAAAGGTGTGGACAAGACATATCTGTTGGTGGAGTCTAAAATGTAAAGAGAAAATCAAAGTGAAAATAGAAAGTCAAGTTCAAGATAAAGTGAAATATCTCCAGAACGGACAATCAGAAGAGGTACCGACGAGGGTACCGATATACCAAAGTTGTTACAAGATATTGTGATTATCCTAGTGATTATCAATGGATTTGATAGTCCAACTACGTAAAAAATTAATTACATTGCACCCCATGATCGAAAAAAATATTACGTAAATCTTTATCTATACAAAGTATCCTGAAAAATTTGCTTTTAATGGAGGCCAAAAACTGATTTTTCAATAAGAGGTCAATTACTACAACAATCAAAGATGTTAATAAAGCATTACGTGCGAGACCCAGGATAGGAATAACCCCTATGAACAATTTTCTATCTTTGTAGCGCATTTTTCAAGAATTAAAAAAATATATGCTATTCTTTGCGTTTTGTCCGTCCGTCCGGACCCACATCTGGCGTTTCGAACTACTTCTAGGGGAATGGTTCTAGAGTCCTGGAATTTATTGCAGTAGGTAGCCTATACCTTGAAGGTGTGCCAGACGGCCATCAAATTTCGCTGTTTAAAAGGGGGGCCCCCCCCCCCCACAAATTATTTCCTGAGATGCTGTTTTTGAAAGTGAAACGTGCATAACTTTTACATACGACAATCAATTGGTCTCAGATTTTGCATACGCATGCCTTCAGTAGTGCCAAGTTAAACTTTAGAAAATTGGGAGGGGGGATACACACATGTTCTACCCTTCATGTTATTCTAATGAAATGAAAGGTTTCATCGAAATAAATAAATAAACAAACTATAACTTTTCCGTGCGATTCTTTTTCGAGATCAGTGAGCGAGGGGGGGGGGGGTTAAAAATTAATTTTGTCTCACATTGTGTTCTCATTAAAGGTCTCAACGAAAGGAACCTTTTTTTACCAACTAGTGTCCTTCTTTCTGCCCTCTTATCAAAGTACAGGGTGGAGGGGGAGTGGAACTAGTTTTATCCTTCATGGTACTCTAATGAAAGGTTGAGTAAGTTAAGTTACCTCAAGAACGGATTGTCGGAAGAGGGTACTCACAAAGGGCGATTGAGACGTCTGCAAGAAATATATCCATTGGTGATATCAAAACAAAACCTATTTCGGTTTAAAAAATGCGCTTTATCTGCACAAGAGTTGTGCACAATTTATACTTGTTACACAAGTTTGCATATGATATTCAAATGTCCTTGGACACCCTATGTATATACATTTGCGGAGGGTAGTGTATATAATTGCCTGCAGCCCAAACGGGTTGTTTGTTGATCTGCTTGAGGTTGCTTCGGGCACATAAAGTAACTAGTTGTCTCGTGTGCCCTAGGCATACTAAATGCATTACCATTACCAAGTAGATGAAGCAAGTCCCATGAAACCAATGATAATTACAATGTACAATCTATGGTCCTAGACACCTTGCTTTTGTAAACAAACACTGGCAAAGAATTTCAAGTTAGTTGAAAGCGTAATACACAGAGACGCGTGTGTAAAATTTCCAAATACAAGCATTAATCTTACCTATGTGACAGTAGATGTGCACTTATTAATCCTCCAATAATTCTAATATTGGTCTCAAAAACCGAGACATTGATATTAGCATCGAAGTTGGCCTTTGATGTTAATATTTTCACCACCCTTTGGAATTCAGTATAATTCCCCATAATTGCCAACGTGTCTAGTGCATCTATAAGTGTTAGTGAATAACTGCAATGTACTTATTAACATCGAAAACACTGTTCACATACAAATAGATTACCTTCCCCAAGTATCGACTCCGTCACAGCTTAAAGGTCGTAATTCGTCATAGGGGTAGGCGTATTTTAAATAGCCGTCATATGCGTGATTAAACATCTCTCTCACCTCTTCCCTAATAAAATACGAAATATTAAATCTATAATTGTAGATCAATTGAATTGTGTTTATTTATAAAGTGTCATTTCATAATAAATAATATTTGTACCTAAACTTAATTATTTCACTTTTATTATAAATTCTAAGACTAAAAACCGAATTCATCATTAAGCATACAACACCTATTACACCTTTCATTGTTGTTATTATTGTGTTTATTTGTTAAATCATTTGATGTTTTTGAATATTTGGAATTGGCAGCAATCAGCTGATCACCTTGACAGTTAAAAACGTGTCAAGTGTCAAGAAGATGATGTGTTCTTTCTTTTCATCCAGTGTTGCCATATGTTGTATATCAAAGATATACAAGGTGTCCCAGATCGGATGGGATTGGATGTGTGTTGTTTAGACAATTTGAAAATTCTGACCAGACCAAGAGACCTAATGTGCGTCGCAGATTTGTTATTTTCAAGTAAGTAATTTAACTCTATATTTAAATGACGTTAGAAATGTTATGCGTTAAATGATGATTTCTTAAATTATCTTATTGTTGGTTGCATAATTGCACTGGTCACATTTAATGTTTTTGAAAGTACTTACTGGATAAAATGTGACGTTTTAAACTATCTTTGCTCTTTAAGGTATAATTACACTGATTGCAAATGAAATTTTTGCAAGTGTATTTACTTGTACAGCCGTAAAAACTACTATATTGATTAGGTATTTTTGGCCATTGCAAATAAACAAAAGGGCGCTCTTATACCACCAACAGTAATTACAATGTGCTGCCACCAGTGGTCTCACGGTTAATCTGAATCGCGATAGTCGTCATTATGCCACGAATACTAAGGCTGTTTTAAAGCATAATCGACCGAAGGGAATGTCGGCGAGTTGTAAAATTAAACAAGTGCACCCCAAGTTGAATGATAAATTGTGATCATTATTGGTTAATTAGAAAATTAAGCTAATTGCGTGTTCAAGTTAATTCACGACAGCCTCGAGTTTTTAAGAAAAAGGCCCTTCAGAGGTGGTATACAGAATTAAGGGGTTATATTTTCAAATCTCAAAAACGGCAGGATAAGCTCAATTCCCTTTCAAATTAGTAAAATTTGACTTAAAAACCTGCAAGAATAACCCAATGTTTACAAACCGGAAACCGCTACCACCTATACAGTCACGCCATTTGCAAATTACGCCAGCGCCTCTAGTGTTAAACTGAATCAGAAATAATCTCATGTTGCCAAGGTACTTCAAAATCGATATAATATTTCATCCGATACAATACCTCTGCAAAGAACCTTTTAACAAAGAATATTGTCCCCAAAAATGCGAAAATATGTTTTGAAAATTGGCAACACAGCACTGTATGTAACTTATAAGCTTAAAATCAATCACACAAAATTTGTGATTAATCACTTACTTATCTGTTTCAGGATTTCATTCGTTAACTAAAATACTACCCCTTCGCAGAAAGCGATGCATTTCCGAAACATCCTGTATAGATACGATAATTTTAAAATGCGGACGATCAAAAATGAGTTGCTGTCGAGTCGCCTTTGGAAGTTCAAGTTAAATACGATTTCCTATGTAAACAAAAGCATTGAATTTATAACTAATAGTTATAAATTCAATGACAAAAGTTCCAAAGGTGACTCGACAGCAACTCATTTTTGATCGCACAGTACTAATCTAATGTAGCAGGGAAAAAATAAATAAGAATGAACGATGATTGCTTATTGATAGTATAGTGCGGTAGGTCTGTATTTTACGCCTAGTGCTATTTAAGTGTTTTCTACAGAGTGTTAATAGTTTCCTTTTTGGGTTTTTAATTTAATAAGCTTCGTGTTTAATTTCCGTAGTATTGCTACTTGATAGCGTGTATCGTATGTAAGTACCTAACTAATAAACATTAGGCACGACTTTAACCTATAAAACAATTTGCTGTAACTATAGTTTACCTCTCGTTTTACATCGAAATTCTTCTATAGTTTGTATCTTAGAGAAGGAAAGAGTTCATAGTGTAAGGTTTGTATCATGTCATGTAGGTAAGTATATCTACTTTAAAAAATGCAAACAATAAACACCAACCAAACGACCGAAATAAAGATACAGGATGCTCTAAAAGTTTTTGAGTGTGCATATATATATAGGGTGGCTTATCTAAAACGATCTAGCATTGGGTAACGAAGTGCGATATCGTCGGTGATGGAGGGTGATTTTTGTCCCTCTACTCACTGCATCGTGGTCACACCTGACTTTCAAATGCACTGTGTCCGAGATAAGGATGTGTATCATGGAAATCTCCGAAACCATAGAATGTAATATAATTTATTGTTGTGACACGCGTCTAAATTTCACCTGCTGATTTCACGAATTATGGAAAATTGCAGGAAAATAAAATGCATTTTCATTACAATATTTCGTTTCGGAGAAATTATCAACTTTATTTTCTTATATGGCCCCTAAAAAAAGTACAATTAAACTGTATTGAGTAGCATTTTTTATTATTAATGCAACACCTGCGCATGCGCGATTCTACCTAAAAGCGTTTTAGATTTTCCTTTTATGTCTGTGTACCAAATGGGGTTCCAATTGGTTGACCCGTTTAGCCAGAAATAAGAGTACAGACAGATCGACAAACAGATCCACATCATCGAGATTTTGTTTGATTCGAATTCCTGGTACTTCAAAACCTGTATTTTCGTAAAGAAAGTGGGGGGTCATAAGAATGCTTTAGTAAGCGACTACTCTGTACAACGGTTTGAATAAAATGAATAAAAAAATGAACATAAATTTATAGCAAAAGCAAAGAGATAATCACGTTATCGTTATATACCTACTCTTTGGCAAAAGTAAATAATGAAAACTTCGATGCTAGAATGCTGTTTTAGTTATTTAATTGAGTCAGACGGCTCCCCTTCAGCTTGCCTAACGGAAGTTTTACTTTTTAGACGATGGAGTTCTCCAATTTTCTTCAATCTATTATCTCATGTAGGTTTGAAGAGTCTATGCTAGTGAAATTTTTCGAAAATGCATTTGATTTGGAAAATGTTACCATAACCAATGTGGAGAATAAAGATGGCGTTAAGAAGGGCGATTCGTACCTGAGCGAGGTGAACAACTTTACCGTTTCGGCCTCTGGTAAACACAAAAGGTCAGCTCCATAGTGATGTTTTATTATTTTTATTTTTTTAAATTGCAGTGATGGGAAAGTGGTAGACGTTTCTTTGCCGATTATAACGAAGTGTCTACCTAAAAGTGTTGGCTGGCTAAAAACCTTTAGGTCTGCCGATTTCTTTAACAATGAATGCATTTTTTACAATACTGTAAGTTGGTAATCGAATGAAAATATTCTCTTATGGGGTTACAGGTTTGGAAAGCCATGAACCAATTTCAGTTGGAGAAGAATGTTAAAGTGTTCGAGTCCATTCCTTTGTTAGTATTCAGAGTTGCATTTGAAATCACACCCATTGTAACTATAGCGCCATACGTATAAAATCTATTCATACCATTACTTTCTAATAGTAATAATAATAATAGCTGTTTCTTGACTTGCACATAAAACAGACTGGTCAAAATTAAAATATGACCTATTTGTGCACAACCCACATGGGGCGAAATTCGCACAGACAGAATACTGCCGCCTGTTTGACCACTTAACCCCTTTCAGGGCTATATAGGGCAAATTTTCTTATGCTTGAATGCGGGAAATTTGATCTGCGCATGCGCGATGTAGTTCAGTTAGGAATACAAAACAGTAGGTACCTATATATATATAGTCATCTCTTATATAATGCTGGATTTCTAATATTCTAACTCACAGTCTAACAGCTCAAGTTAGAGTACAAGCTATTTATTAGAATATTTTTGATTTCGTGTTTTTTGGTTTTTTCAACATTTTGATAAGAAAAAAATTGTAGAGATATTTCGATTTAGATAAATTTGGTAGCTTTTTACTTCCGCAGTCCCAAATTGATAAAGAAGTTGAAAAAGTATACAAAGGTTAAAGTTTCTAAGCTACTTCACAAAAAGAATCTTTAAAAAAATGCGGATCTAATGAAATTTAAAAAGCTGAAAAAAATTCAAGAAGAGTTTAAAACATCCTTTCAAGGAGTCAAAGAATATAACAAGTTAAAAAGTAATCGTAAACGATTTACATAAAGCGCATTTCCACTTGCATTCATTTCCCATTTGTAAGATGCAACTTCTGTTAAAATCGTAAAAATCCGGCCACAAATATGAAACACACATGTTCACATTTGCAATGCACATGGGCAATCCATTTTTGACGTGCTACTTCAATTTCAGTTTATGAGAAAAATTTCATTTCAATGCTTTTCTAAATAAGGAACTGCGCATGCGCAAACCTAAATTTTGAAACTAATGTTAGATTTTCCTTTGTTCCAAGCGCCTAAGTATCAAATTTCATTTAAATGGTTCCATAGATAAAAAAGTTGGCACTGCGCATGCGCAAAATAAAATTTTGAAACTGGCGCTAGATTTTCCTTTATTCCAAGTGCCTATGTATCAAATTTCATTTAAATTCTTCCATAAATAAAAAAAGTTGGCACTGCGCATGCGCAAAACCAAATTTTGAAATTGGCAGTTGATTTTCCTTTATTCCAAGTGCCTATTTATCAAATTTCATTCAAATGCTTTTATAAGTAAAAAATTTTGCAATTCGGTTTATAAATGGTCGAGATGCGAAAAGGGCACTGTGAATTTTGAATCGATTCGATTCAACTTTTGGCATTGCGTATTATATGGCTCAAGCTATGCCCATATTGAATTTAATGCAATTCAGTTCATAACTAACGGAGATGTAAAAGCGATCGAACATTTCTAAACAAAGTTATCGTTCACACGGACAGAGAGATGGACAGACAGCAAAGGAACAGACGGACAGACCAACAGGCAGACGACAGATAGCAATGCAAAATTATAAACGATCTCTAGGATCGTTAATAAACGGCAAAAGTGTAAAATTATGGAACATGTAAAAACGGTTTTTTGTTTTTTTTTTCAATAACTTTTTTTTAAGCGGTACAGAAAAATTCCTTCCTTGGTACAAGACTCGACACCATAACGAACCAATAGCGAAAAAAGTAGAACAATAGCTCTTAAGATAAAGAACTAGTAGCGTCGCAAAACGAGCGGACGGACGGACGGACGGACAAAGTGGCCACAATAGCGCGTTTTTTTTTATTTTTGTGGAAATGCGCTAAAAAACAGAAGAATTGGATATTTTAAGAGTTGAAATAATCCGAAGAATTTGAAGACGCATTGATGGATAAAAACAGATTTAAGAATCCGAAGGGAAGAATCTGGAGAATCTCAAAAGTCGAGATAATTATCAAATTTTAAAAATAGACTTCTTTTTAAATATACAGGTAGACATGTCGGCGCCTTATATGTAAATCAGCTTATTTTTTGCAATTATTTTGCCAAAATTAAGAATTTTGTATAAGGGGTTGCGTTTTGGCAGTAAATCTGGTACTCGCATAAGTAGAATAGTGTAAAAATTGATGCGGATGTATGATTTTTACATTTGAATTTTTAGATGCATTTCAGCATATTCGGACGGCACCAACGACTACATTGCCCTAGAGAATGTAAACTATAAAGGATTTTCGCAGTTAACCAGAAGCGGCGGTTTAGATTTTGACCATGCTCAATTAATCATGCGATTATTCGCTCGTTTTCACGCACTTGGTTTGGCGTTCAAAGACCAAAAGCCGGAAGAATTTCAAACCATCGCAAACGCCTTGCACGAAACCTATTTTTCTGAAAATTATAGAAATTGGTACTCCAAATTTCAAATCAACAATCTATTTCCATTGATTCGTGACGCAATTAAACAACAGTTGCCAGAATCGTATTTGAGACGATTTGATGAAGTCACAGAGGATGATTTTTTTGGGTATTCTTCTTCGGACGGATTATTAACCTTTACGAAACTGATGTTTTAGCAAGCAAATAAAGTCTTGTGAGAGGAAAGGTCGACTGGCAGTAATAACCCACGGTGATGCATGGGCACCAAATTTCTTGTTGAAGTATGAGGGCGGAAATTTAATGGACGCAATCATGATTGATTTTCAATTAGCCAGGTAGGTCAACTCACTGCACCCTCATTTTCATAAATGTGAATGTTTCCAGATATGCGTCTTTAGGATTAGATATAACATTTTTCTTGTATTCTTGTACAGAACAGCCAATGAGATTAAAATATTGGGATAGATTAATTGAAGGTTATCATGAAACTTTCGTTTCGACTTTGAAACAGTTAGGATCCAATTCGCAATTGTTAACATTAGAAGATTTAAAAGAAGAGATCAAGTTAAGCGCATTATTTGGCGTGGGCATGTCGATGGAAGCATTGGCAATGTCATTGCTAGCTGACGATGATGTTGCAGATCTGAAAGCAATTGAGGTTTCTCATTATGAAACTATACCTATTTGTTAGTCTAAAATCAATTTGTAACAGGGAGAAGAAGTTCCATTGGAAAATGTGTGGGTTCTGCCTTTATTGAAGGATGTACAGAAACAACAGCGGGTTGCAAATATGCTGAAGCACGCCATTGACAGCAACTTTTTTTAATTACTACCATACCATGTCGTTCGCTGACTATTAATTTTAGCCTAAGTACTTTTTTTGTATTTTCAAGTTTTAGTAATAGCAATGTATATACACCTATAATGGTATAGTAGGTATTAACATAGGTATTCCTAATACGAAAATTCGATTTAATAAATCGATACAATGGAATATCGAAGGATCCTCAGTAATACCATCGCTTTTTAATGCCCACCATTTTAGTCCGTCAGCTGGCTGCCAATAAAGGCGATGGTAGAATGTATCACGTATGCCCTTTTGTATTTTGGTAACCATGCTAATGCTCGTTAACGATCATCGGAAATGACTTTTTTCCCGTGGTGCATAGGTATGGCAGAAAAATGGGCGCATGCCTGTTGAGGGCCCAAAACAAGAGAGGGATAATAAAATAAATAAAATAAAAAATAACCTGCACTAGTACAAATCCTAGGCAATGGTGGCTGAAAAACATGTATAGATACGACGCTAAATTGCTAACAAACGGCTGCGCGTTGCCTATAGGATTTCTACTATATATGTATAGTAACTCCGTCATTGGGTATATTTGAATTTGCCGCTAACGCGCATTGCTCTAGACACAGATTAAATTATTTAATCTGTGCTCTAGTTCTTCCTTGCCTAGATCTTGGTCGAGATTGTACTTCTGGGTGTCAAATCCGCGCGGCCTCGTGTAATTCCCGATTATTTGGCCGTAGGCGATGCAGTGGCTGGTTAAAGATTCAGGTGAAGGATAAAAGCTTGAATTTGAATATGACTTGGTTCTGAGTTTTAGGGTCTCTCTGTAGGTTCTTTAAACCGTGTCACTTCTTGGCAATCAGAGCAACATTAAGGTGGTTTCTGTTTCCGTTTAATTATATTTCTGGTTATCTAGAGAAGTGGGGCGTCCCTAGGTGCAGCTTTTTGTTTGCAGCGCCAGAGTTGGGTTTTTTTCTCCTTCAATTAGGCACGGTCTGCCAAAGAAAATAGACGCTTTGGTTGTAGGCGATTACCTATATTATTGTTAGTGGTTTGGTAATTCAAACTAGGTTAAACTGACGGTTTTTTCCAGTTTGAGGCCCGAAGTTGAATTTTTTGCGGTTGCGCAGATTTTTTTAGAAGGGGTCGTCCAAGTTGGGGGGAGTGATCTCGTTATTTGGTGGGATTTCCTATATATTTTTCGATTTTGTATGTGAGCGAGTTGTCCTGGATTACGGTCCTGGCTGGGTATTTGCGTGCGAAAGCTTGAGGTGCCTAGAAGTCGTGGGGTCGAACCAAATTAGCTAGAATAGAAATACAGAGCAATTTTGCAAAGGACAGATCCGTCACTAGCGAGTTTGCTAAGACGCGTGAGATCTGCTAACTCAGCGGTGTTTTCTCTTCGCGACTAGTCGATTTATCCCTGTAAAGGAATCTCATTGGTTAGACATAATGAGTTTTATTGGCGGAGAAGGTAGCACGTCCTAGAATGGGTGTGAATTATAAAATAAAAGTAACGGTTTGAGAATTTTCATACGAGAAATTAGATTATACAGGGTGTTACATATATAAGTCTGTAAAAAAATTGGATGGAAGAGGGGATCAAAACAAGGCACTTTCTACAAATAAACTAAGCGTTCAACGTGTTTCGTTTGGGCGCTGTAAATGAAGGCAGACTTTTATTTAATACTAGTAGACCTGGCGAACAACGCCTATCAATCGCCGCCCCCTCGCCAAATTTGGATAATTCAGAAACCTTCTCGATTGCGGACAGACGCCCAACATGAACGGTTTAGGCAGGCATAAGAGAGAAGAGACATACACACAGTCATTTGGATTTTGTTGTTAGAAAGTGGTCCAGAGCAGAGGTGCGATGATTTTACATATTTCAGGTATGGAAAAAATCGCCCAATCTCCTGAGTGTATTTATTAAAAAATTTCGATATATTGAACATAATTATTTCGGGAATTTGGCATTATTTAAAAATCAAAATTTAATATCCTTCAATACCTATACAGTGCCACCATGCAGAAAAGCCCCGGAAAAATATGCGAACTAATTTTGAAATAAACTTAACAAACATAGAAAACGAGCTCCTGAGTATGGCTATAGCATGTGCAAAACCAAATTTTAAACCTGATGTTAGTTTTGCTTTTATTTAAAGTGTATATGTAAGAAATTTTATTTAATTGGGAAATTTGGAAAATGGCGCAACATTTGCTTTTATTCCAAGTGGCTCGCTGTATCAAATTTCAGTTGAATGCCTCCATAAATAAGAAAGTTGGCACTGCGCATGCGCAAAATCAAATTTTGAAACTGGCGCTACATTTGCTTTTATTCCGAACGGCTAAGTATCAAATTTCATTTAAATGCTTTCATAAATAAGAAAGTTTGCAATTCGGTTTATAAATGGTCGAGATGCGAAAAGGGCACTGTAAATGTTGATCGATTAGGCTCAATTTTTGGAAGTGCGTTTTATATGGCTAAAGCTATACGCATATTGAATTTCATGCAATTCGGTTCATAACTCACGGAGATGTCAAAAGGGCCTTCCTTATTTTTTGACCTACATTGCCAATTCACGAACTCCCATCTACAAATTTGATAAAGAATCCATCTACTAAATTTTATCGTAATCGGTCCATCCGTTATCGAGATATCGTGCTAACGGACGGACAGACATCCCAAAATTATCAACTCGCTAGGAGCTCGTTAATAATTCAGGCTGGCTAATAGAAAGTTTGCAAAACGACACGAGTTCCTAGCGAGATTATAATTTTGCGGTGTCTGTTCGTTAACACGAAATCTCGATATCGAATGGACCTATTACGATGAAATTTTGTAGGTCGATTTTTTATCAAATTTGTAGATCGGAGTTCGTGAATTGGCAATGTAGCCCAAAAAATAAGGAAGGAATAAGGATATAATCATTGAATAACATTTATTAAATGATATTATATGTACTACGACGATTTGTAAGTTCGTGACTACGACGCGCGCCTTTACTTTTACACGTTACACCTAAACCTGCGTTATATTTGGCAGTCATTTGGCGGAAAGAAATTGTATTCACGTATCCACACTGAAAACCTTTGATTCGTAGTCAAAAGCTCAAAACTAAATGTACCACCTACTACCTGATGCCCTATTTTTTTACATTTCACCATTGCGTAAAAATGTACAGCATGACTCTAGTAACATAATTTTTTCATTACGTAATTTAAATTCAAATTTTCCGCCTGGTTAACAGTGGCGCGCTCTCTACGGCTCGTAGATGAACTAACCGCAAAAAAATTGTGGATTGTTCTATCATGCTACTTGCTAGTCTTATCAAAGATCGTGTTGGTCTTAAGACCATTTTATGAGTCTTAATTCCTCCACCGTAACGCCATAAACAACTAGAATTTCACTCCGTAGTTTGCTGTTTACATTTTCCGAAGAATTTCGTATGCTATGTCCTGAACCTTTCCCGCCAATATTAAAAGGGCATATTTAGTGCTCGCTTTTGAGGGAACAATCGTCGCAGTAGCCCAGCCCCGCTAATGTATAAATACGCGATATAAAAAAGTTTACTAAACTTATATAATCGTAACCTCTAATCGCAGGCATATTATACATTACGAGCCGGCGTACTGCTTTTCATGTGCAACATTTAATTAACGTCATTTGCGCACAGGACGAAAATTGCAATGTACTACCGCAAAAGTAAATATTATAAACAACGGTAAGACAGGGAAGCGCCTAATTAATTATTTAATGCATATTATAAACCCTTCAAAAGAGATAATTACTTTTCGTGCTCACTTTTTCGTGCCACTAACAGATCCGACCTTCGTCGGTGTAACGAAAATACCCGAATTGCCGTCAAATGTTTTTGTTTTGAGTATAAATTTGTTTCTTTTGTTTAATAGTTCATAACTTCGTGCTTGACAACTTTTCTGATACTTTCACCGCTACGGCATTAATTGGAATAGTGAAAAAGTTCGCGTACAATTAAAATTAATTAGATATTTTATTGAATTTTATTCTGCTTTTCGTTTGTATCGTGCGCGGCGCTCAGTCCGTTCAGTATTTTCTCGTATATCGCTGTTCAAGCTTTTGTCATGCCCTCCAATTACTTGAACGTTTATTTTGTGTAGGTAAATTAAAACTTAGGGGCAACATTTGTTGCAATTATGGTCGTGTCGACTATGCGTATTTCCGAAGATCTTCGCCATTTATTGGAGGCACAACAGGCGAAATTAGAGCGAGAAATTCACGAACACCATGTAAGTTTTTAATTACTTTTAATATTGCAACTTTTATTGTTTTGACTCTCTTTTGTAGTTTTAACACTGTAGCTAAATCTAGTTTTATAATTTTATCAGTCGCGATGCGCCTAGTAGAACTTTTAAACTGTATTTCTCTTTTAGGTGTTATTTTTGAAGTTTAAGGATGACCCAACGGTGAGTTGATATTGAATACGTTCATTTAAGTGAAAGTTCGCGTGTTTACTTAATAAATTGTTTGTCTTTAGAATTTCGAGCTGGAAAGGAGTTTGAAAGAAGTACAAAATGCCATTCACGAAATAGGGATAGAACAGGTAGGCGTCTAAATGTAAAATATCTAACCTAAATCGGTATAGTTTGAAACACTCCAGGGGAAGCAGAATTTCAAAACAAATAGAATTTCCTGCAGTTTTATAACAAGTTCTTTTATCTCTTTCTCTATTCTAAATATAGGATGTAGCGATCTCCATGTCACAATTAAAGTAGGTATGACAAGATTGTGAGAACTTGCCCCATTTAATGATAGGTAGGTAGATCTTAAAGTATTTTGGCCCGCTGTAGGACGTAGATATCGCAGAGACGCAACTTATCCATTCCCAAGGTGGTTATTGATCTTGCAAACTTGGGCATATAAAATATTTCTAAATTTCGTAATATTATACTTATTTACTGGCTTAATTACCAGTAGATAAAACCTTGATAAAGGTGTAGAGTTGGGAAAAAAAAATGTAGGTACCTATTAGATAACAAACGTCAAGGTTTGCATGCACATTTTTTCTGGCGAGCTAAACTAAAAAGATCGAGGCGAGAACATATTGCGTTAACTTTCTACAAGCACAAAACTAGTCGAAAAAATAGTTTGACTTTGTTATAAGATTTATTGATTCTTGTTGAAAACTGTTACAAAGATTTTAATACGCAGATGCACGCTATTATTTTAGTCAATAAAGACTACAAATTTCCGCTTTTCCTACATATATTCGTACTTATTGACTGATTTACGGGTTGGAAATTACACAGACAGTTTTACCTAAATGCATGGCGAAAGGCCCGAGAAAGGGAGAGAAAGGAAAAGTTTGTTCTGCGAGAATTATCATTCATATGATGCGATTCATATTATTTTGAAATCTTTAATTATGAAAAACTTAGTTTTCAAATTTGAATCAGTCTGATTTCTACGCGTCTGGATGCAAGAGTGCTTCGAAAATTAATTACTTAACTTAATTAAGGAAGGGTAAAGTAGCTACTTGCATATCACCTGCTAATCCATTCTCATGTGCAAATAATTCGTTAATAAAACGCGTACGTAAAGGGCTGAAAACCAGTGGCGTAGCAGCTTTCTACATTATAGGCGCACGCTTATTATTATTTATACCTCTCCTCCCAGGTTTTTTTTTATCAACATAATGGAAACTTTGTGCTTTTGCCGAGGCATTTAATAACTATAAAGAGAGAACCAGTTGATTTTTATTTTAGTTTGCAGTATGTTGGTTGGTTCTGTTAAAATTTCGTAAAGATCCGGCCACAAATAAGAAAGCTGGCGTTGCACATGTGCAATTCATTTTTGACGTGGTACTTTAATTTCAGTTTATAAAAAGAATCCTACCCTAAAATCACAAATAACGAATTGTGCGCATTTTTTTTAACCGAAATAGCTTTTGTTTTGATATCACCTTATCACCAATGGATATATTTCTTGCAGACGTCTCAATCGCCCTTTGTGACCCTCTTCCTCCTTTCTTGAGGTATAAGGGAATATACCCGATCACGATAAGAGGTCGAGGAGGAGGGCTATGGTTGGTAGAAATCAATTCCTTTCGTTGAGACATTTCATTAGAGTACCATGAAGGATAAAACTAGTTCCACTCCCCCCTCCCCCTCCACCCCGTACTTTGATAAGAGGACAGAAAGAAGGGCAATAGTTTCTGAGACCAATTGGTTGTCGTATGTAAAAGTTATGCACGTTTTACTTTCAAAAACAGCATCTCGGGAAATGATTCGTGGGGAGGGGGGGGGGGCTTTTAGACAGCGAATTTGATGGCCGTGTGGCACACCTTCAAGGTATAGGCATTGAATTTATAACATCTTATAAATTCAATGGTATAGGATACCTACTGCAAAAAATTCCAGGACTCTAGGACTATTCCCCTAGAAGTAGTTTTTTTTAATTCTTAAAAAATGCGCTAAAAATTACAAGTGATTCAAAATAATTTAAAATGATTAAGAAATAATTAATAAAATTTAAGAAATGTTCAAATGGTATGAAAAAGCAATAAAAAAATGTTTTAATTTTTTGAAATTTAAATTTCTTTAGTGTTATATTTTTGGAATCCGAATTTAATATGCTCTTTTTCGAATAAAATATACAGAGTGTTCCACTAAAAACAATGAGGTTAGGTGGTATAACTTTTTTTTTACCTTACCCCGTATACTTGTTTTGAAAACGGCAGATTATTGAACAGTCATTATAAAGAACCTTCTAAGAAACATCTTGCTATATCTCCTTTAACATTCTGAGATTGACAATTTTTTATTTTCCTCCGTACCTCATTTTTTAAATGGAAGACCATATATATTTTAATCAAAAACTATGATATTAAATTTGTCTTTTCCAAAATATAACACTAAAAAATTCCATAAAGATTCAAAAAAAATTTTGAAATTTTGTTGTACTTTTACAAGTAAATATGCTATATTTTAAAATTATTAAATAATACAGCGTATTACATTTAAAAAAATAAGGTTAGGTCCAATACCATTTTTACTTTTACTTTTTAAACTTTGATTTTACAATTTTTAATTTGACCCAAGAGCACGTAACATCCTATATTACTTTTTTGACGCCACTTAACAATTACGGAGATACCCTATAAAAGTGTCGAAAATAGGACAGTCTGTACTTACTTGTTATACCTAAGTAGTTACTCGAAAACGGCAGTTAGAACACATTAAGAGAGGGATAATAAAAAAAATAAATTAAAACAAACTTTTCTTAGTTCCAATTTTTGATTTGGTGCCTCGGTTCGAAGTTGTTGGCGTACTTTTGTTTTTCGAAAAATAGTCATATATCCCTTAATTCAAGGACTATTGAAAAGAAAAATTCTCAAAATTATCTTTCAGCTCTCTAAATCATTTCCATTTATAATTATTTTTTCAAATAATAAAATAACGGTCGATAAAAAATTTCCAAAAAACATTTTTTGATAACCACCTCATCGATTTTTGAAAGGAAAACGTTTATAAAATTCCTACACCGTCTACTACAACATTTGTCCTAAACATTTTTTTCAATCGATCTTACGAAGGGGGGGGGGGCATTTTGGAAATCGAAATTGTTAAATTAGGAAATATGAAGCATTTTTGTTCTCACAATTGAAATTGTCGAACCAGAGAAGCAATTGCAACCCCCAGTAAATCGAAATTTAACGCCCTACATTCATTGAAAGTTTTTAAGTTTATTACAAAAATTAAAACGTATAAAACGCAGGCGCCCAATACTTTAAACAAGAGAAGAAATGGGCGGAAATATGGTGGAAAGTTTAAAATGACGAAAGTTTAGTCTTTAAAACCTAGAAATAATAAGCTGGAAAAATTTTATTTTTTGTATATTTTATGATAATTTTTGTACGACTTGTATCTTTTTTATTATAACAATACAATATCTGTATCTGAGACCCAAACTGTATTAACTCAAAAAAATTAAATTTTACAGCAGAGCGATTTGAAAATTTATAAGACATTAAAATTAATACAAAATATTTATTTAATAACTCTTAAAAAAGAAATTAAACTCAAAAATAAAATGTGGATGTCCTTAAATTTTCCCTTTTCTAATTTTCAAAAATTTTCATTATTTTTGCCAAAAAAAGTTATTAAAAAGTCAATTAAATGGAGTTAATACCATTTGGCCCTAATACTTCGAATTACAAACTGTATTAAATACTTTTTTGAAAAATGAAAATGGAGTTAATATGGACAATAAAATACTAATGTATTCTGAAATTATTTATTTATTATTTTTAAAGATTGCACCTCGGATTGCACGGTGTAAAAAAGCGCCTTCCAATATTTTTCTTGACCTATATTTGCCATTTTTTCGCAGAGTAAAAAACACACGTGCACTTCTACACAACATCAACGCACTGAAAACTGTATTATGTCCACACATGTAAGTTTTTTTAACAATATTAACTCCATAATACTATTTTACTCGGAAAAGGTTATTGATATAATACTGTTTAACTTTGGCCAACTTCAAATAGTTATTTATGTATCAAGGGCATTAAGGCGATATTTATGCCGAGGGCGACAGAGCCCGAGGGCCTCTGGCCCGAAGGATTGTAAGTCGCCCGAGGGTTAAATATCGAGTAATGCCAGAGGTGCATACAACATTTTATTTTTTATCGTTCCATCCAAATAATGCATTTCCAATATACAAATGTAATGATTATTGCTAGTGCTTTATACGAATCAAGTAGCATCTTTTTTTATGGCATAACTCCATCAATATATTTGACAGGCAGTTTGAGGGCATAATGGATTGTCATCTCATTATGCCCTCTCATTATGCCCTCGGGCGTCACAGACTGCTTTATATATCTCATATGACAGATATAATTGTCATATAATAGGCAAATGAAAAATAAAGTATATTATATAGGACTTAATACATACTATATTCCATGTGAAAAAGCGAGTCTCGTTTAGTAGGAAGAGAACTTAATACCGATTTGAAAAGAAATGGAGTTAATACAGTTTGGCTCTCAGGTACAGATATACAATCCAATATACAATATGTGTTCAAAATTGTATCATTATTTGTAAACTTAAAAGTATATGGAAAGCCGGAGTAATCATTACTCGGGGGTTTTCGGGAGCGCAGACTCCATATCTGCCCTCGAAATTGCCGGAGGTGCTGAGGGGTGACGATACGGGGGTGACTTTTGAGTAAAAATGTGAATTGAGAAAATATAATTCTTGGAAAATGGAAAATTTGTCCGATAGGTATTCTTGCACGATTAAGGCGTTCTGCGCTGGTGCACCATCTTGTTGAAAGTAATCAGTGTGTGGATAAAAAAAATTTCAAAATTGATAATGCAAGTTACGTTTCCAGAAACAGATCACTGAAAGGGTACGAAATGAATTAAACGATATCGAAAAGAAATTACAAACAAATGGGATCAAGAGTGCCTGCAGTGACCGCGCAAATAATTTAAACAACGCCTTGAAGACTGCAGTAAGTCGAGTTCGGAAGCAAAACATGTGAGTTACAGTTTTTTAAATTTCCTACTTAATAATCATGCTTTAGAATAACTCGCTGCACTCCGTCGGTTCCAAATTCACCATCGGACGACTCCTTGGACATCCCTTCGGCAAGTACATCACCAGAACCGCCTTGCAATCCAGGAAAGCTTGAGGAACTGTCGCAGAACCAGTTTTTGAAATTTTTTGGTCTTGTTACGCATGTGGTCCACGATGAAATGCAAAAGAAGCGAGTGGAACGTAAACGGCGAAGTACTGCTAACCCACAGTTCTTTTATGGCACCAAATCGTGGGATTATCCGGTAAGCCATTCTGGTGGAACATATACTTTGTGATTTTTTCGTCTAAATAGATCAATGTTGTATTCTTTATTCTACATGCATCATTACAAGTTAGAGTAAAGAAAAAAAAGTCCCTTCCCTCCATTCACTAGAGACGTTGAGTGCGCAAATGTATTGTTTTTTGTGTAAGAGCGTGATTGCACGTTTAAAAATTTTCTTTTTGTATTATGTCTTTGACAAATACGTTGATGTGTGTTGTTTTTTCTTGGTGGAAGACTTCGTTGTATTTGTCACCTCACCCGGGTCATTTTCAAAATCCTCGCGCAGCAACACATCGCTCGCTCCTATTTGCAGAATTTTGTATTATTTAACGGTATCGTCGTATTGTAAAACAGACCACGCTTTTCCTGCCATATTCTTGTGTCGTTATACCATAATAATGTACCACACAAGTTTGAAAATCTTGATGTTCGTCATATGTCGCCTGATAGCACGGCGACTTCATTGTCGTCTGCTGTCCCATTATGCACTATAGACAGTGAAACAAGACCAATTTGTAACTACCTGCCTACAGTATTTTATGTATGACGGATATTATGTAACTTGTCTATTTAAATAAGGAGTAAGGAATAACAACTTTAATAATTCCCTTGGGCGATCCCTCTGGGACTACAATTCTGAGGAAAATTCACCGTCTACATCACTATGACAAATTTTAAATTTCACTGTCCTCAAAATGTCCGCAACAGAACAGAATGGCTGGCAGATTTAAATTATAAATTTACCACAACAAAATGGCTGACATTCGGAAATTAAAAAATTTAAATCCTCCGCACAAATTCAAACTTACCGCCACAAAGAGGTGCAGCCAATCACAACGCAGCCCTGTGTCGTCACGTGACGTCCGAAAAAAGGAGGAGATAACCGAGCTTTAACTACTAAGGGTTGTTTTTATTTTATTTTATCCTATAGAAAACCTTTTAAAATAGCTTCTTCTGGAACTCTTTGTTGCTAGATCCAAAGTGAGTTGGCAAAAAATGGACTGGACACATCAATGTTTACTACCCATAGTATCTATAGCAACATCAGCAGCAAAAGGAAGTTAACCTTCATGGGATTAAAGCCGCCCTCCGCCCGATTCCTATTTTTAGGGGAATTTCCTTATGTGATGGTTGTGCCCGTCTGTCTGTTCCTCGTTTAACTCGAGAACGAAAAGAGACAGCGATGTCAAACCTTCGCCAATCGATTTCTAAGAGTTTAAGAATCAGTGCTATTGAATATGAGCCGGATTAAAAGTCTAGTTTCCCAATGCGACCTGAATGGCAAAAAATTCTCCTCCTGGAAATCATGTGCGATTCTTCGTATCTTGTTCCTTGTATGACTTGCAATAATTCTCCACTCACTGGTGCCAGTGAGTCGAGAGGAGGGATTTTTTCTTTCCCTACTCTAAATATAATATAAGGTAATGATTAATCTAAATTATCTACTTGAATGAGACGTTTCACAAAATTTACATTGAAGTCTAATTTTAAATTTTTTTGCAGAAACGCAAACGCGCCGTGTATCTTATGTCGAGCTGTTCACCTCCAAATACTCGACAAAGTGCGAAAAATAAAGCAAAGGCTGAAAGGCCCCCAACTCCACTAAGTAAAGATGATTCACGGGCGTCATCTCCAGTAGATCCACAAAAGCTTCCCATTCCAAATTTGCCACTAGGATTAACAATAGAACGCGTAACCACCAATCGTGCTTCCCCAGATCCGAAGAGCTGCATTATTTGTCGTCTCGCAGGTAGGTGTAGCCTGGCTCATTGAAACTTAATATTGTGCGTGTGTGTTCTGTTTCAGGTTCTTTGTCAGTGTGTGAGTCGTGTCAAAATGGTTTCCATATCAGTTGCTATAACCGTCCCTTAGTGCAGACTCCAAGAAAGTGCCCTAAATGTAGTGCAAACAAGGATGCTCGCGCTGTTGGTGCTATAACTGTATCGTCGGGTATGAGTGTCTCATATGTACCAACTGACGTAACAGGTTAGGAAACAAATCACTTGTTACGTTTTTCGTATAAATTACAACTTCTTGTGATGTTACGTTTTTTTCGTTTTTAATTGTAATCATTTTTACTTATTTTCGTAAGTTGAATCATTGTATTTGGTAAATAGTTTGTGGAAAAGGTATTGATTAAATCATTTTTAATATTCAAGAAAAGCTACAGGAAAAACAAAAGCTGCTTGATGAAAACAGATCCCTTGCAGCTGAATTAACCGAATTGCAAGATCAGCATTCGCGCCTTACTATCTCCCTAAAGGACCAGAAAGCTACTCAAGAAAACTTACAAATCGGCCAACAATCTACAGAGGATAAAATAAAAAATATTTTAACGTTTATCTCGAGCATTAAATCTCCTTTGACCACTGTTCAATCTTCATGAAATTGGCTAATTGTTTGTAGGACGTTTTATTTGTAATTCAAATCTTTTTTCTTAAAAGATATATTTTATAATCTATTTTCGTAAATAAACTTTCGAATTGTTTTACCTGTTCATTACTGATGCTCTTTATTTTAATTTTATTTGGCATCATTTTCAGTTTCAAGTTTCTCTAGGTTCCTTTTATTGCTTTACATGTCCCTTATTGTGACGTTCCAGGTCATCCCTAATAGCTAGCACAGCTCACTTTATAACTAAACTTTCCTGCCTCAAACAAATAAACCTGTAGCGTTGTCGTCATAGCTACAAAGAAGGTTTGGGAGTGGTTAACGATAACGAAATAATTTGAGATGCACATCGCCAAGGCGCATGATAGCCCTAGCCACCAACAGCGTTGGTTCTGCTATTGAGTAAACTCCTTAGTCGGGCAGGTAGCCGGGTACTGCAGTGAGTTCAGTGCACTGTCATTCCGAACTGGCTCGAAGGTGATTAATATTTGCCTCCAACCATATTAAGCAACTATTTTGATGTATAATCCGCCAGCATGTTAGAATAGGAGACTCGTCAAGTCTGCGATAGAAGAATGCAAAAGTTACCTAGCTCTTATTTCATCCGTACCATGGAAGAAGAAAATAGAAGTTGGATTATTCTCATATTGTTATCAAATAGGTATTTACTGTATCGAAATAATAAAATGAAATATAAATATAAAATATCTACATTTTTTCAGTAAATATGAGAATCTCATTGATATACAATTTAAATAACGACGACTTATAAATAAATTATTACTCTTGAATGAGAATATTAATAATAATATTACTGTTTCTACATACACCACTGGAATAAGACAAATGATAATCTATTATTACAAACCTTTAAAATTTTTTGTTTTGCGGGAAATTCTAACTGTCTTCACTCATCAGTTCTAATGAATCACCCGGTATAAGAAGTAGACATAGGGATTTTCGTGTATTGTTTTTTCCTATGTCTACTTTTGAAAGGTGATCTCTTCTGAAGGACGCCTAATTTTATGTAACCAAAATAACTACTTAAAATAAATAAGAGCGCTATTTGAATCTTATTGTGGCTTCCCTATTTTTATTTCGCTCCTTAAACTGTTACCGGCACTATACCAATTGACAATATCAACTTTTTCTTCAATTGAATACATCGCACACGAACGAAAATCAAAATACGGTAGCCAAAGCAACAATATTCAAATTGAATAATAAGACAACCAAATCATGGTTTTACAAAGTTATTTTGGTTGCATAAAATTAGGCGCTCTTCAGAAGGATTATGTAGTAAAAAGTCACGGTCCGTATACTAAACGCACAGGCACACATACATACTCACTGCAGTTTGTAGGCGCGGAGAGAGAGGGGAACTTCCTGCTTGTGACGTACTCTCGGCCGCCGTAGAATTTTTTGACGTTTCTGTATGCTTGACGTTTGTACCACGGTCATCGTACAAAGGTGTATAATATGCGTCTCTCTCCCCCATATGCTACATTTCTTATTAATGTGTAGAGTTGGTTGCCTATTATAGCCATGATTTTTTTTAAAAATATACGTAGCCCATATGGATACATTAAAAAAAATCTCTGTATATAATACTGCTTTGTTAGAACCCTTTCTCACCAGGCGTTTTTGAAACGCTGCCGAGTGGTGCTGCTGGTAGCGCAATATTTTCTTATATGAATGCCGTTCAAAAACGCCTCTTGAGATGAGGCTCTAAGAGGGTAGCGAGAGGGCGTCTTTTTCTAACCTTCCAAGAAACCGACTGCTATTTAGCGTCCTTTGTATTATTAATCCTGTTCACGTGGAGTGGCCTTCAACCACAGATTTAAAATCTGTGCTTCAGCGATGGAACGGCGTTTCCAGAATTTCGTTTAGATATTTCTGATATCTTCTGATGTTTATTTAATAGTTTTAGTATTGAGCCGCTGCGCGCCGCCTGAAACCCTATGGCGACCCACCGATTGGGAAATCATAAAAGATACGAAGATGGCCAAATTTGGGGAAAACCGGTATTTGCCGATTTTGTTTTTATTTTTTCCTGATGGTATTTGAACAGATACAAAAAAAATCATTTTTTGATTGCCACTATTTGAGCGTTGAGAGATTTTCAATACAACGTTTTGTTTCGGGGAAGTCATCATCATTTAACAGGTAGCGCTATTTTGCCATTAAATAACCTATGAAATGATAACCGTATAAAGCCATATGTAAAACACAAACTCGCAAGCTCGCTCGTGGCACAAACGTAAACTTTCTGAATAATAAGCCTCATAACATGAACGTAATCCTATTAAAGAAGATGCGCGCGCGAGAATTTTAGATTAGAAATAACAAAACAATTATGCGCACTATTATAGATTTTAATCTGTGATTATAGGTAAGTAAGTAGTACCGTATCGACAGTTTCCGCGACTTTCCCTTAATCTACCGATTGCGGTCGAATACGGTACAATCGTCACTTGATGCGACACCGCTGTCTTTTCAGCTTGAACCACAGTAGTAAATTCATACCCATTACCGATAATACCAAACATAAGCATTTCCAATGCTAAAACTCCAATGCTTTAAATTGGAACAATAAAAAAAGTATAAAAACAATAAATCAAATTTGTTATATGCAACAACTAACAGATGGTGAAATATTTCCACATAGGGTGCGTTCACCAGAACCAACTGTTTGCAAACCGTTTGCGCTTTTTATATAAAGCGCGGAGGCTGAAGTAATACTGTTAAAATATTTTCTTTTTTGTCTGGGCAGTGTACGTCCGCAGTTTCTTGCGTTTTTACGGATTGACACCACCATTTATTGATAGGAAAAAGCTCTATCAAATGACACAAAAAGTAAAAATGACTTCCATAAGAAAAAACTAAGCTGATTGTGGTTAACCGGAGACGAAACGTCAGACTAAAAATTTAAAACTAGCATCTTGTATATGGAAAAAAGTGGTCACAATTATGTGCCGTTTATTTTGAAATATCTTTTTAAATAACTTAGGTAACAAATAAAAACGATTTTGTAAAATGCCATTTTTTTTCTGGATATCTCCGAAAGTAGTCGTAATTTTTTCAGTTTCAAAACGACATTTTGTTAAGTATCAAACTACTCAACTTTGCCAACCTCTATTTCTTACAGATCCCGAGATCCCCATGGTGGCCCTCGAATTTGAATCAGCCTGTATACATGGAATGCTTCCTTCGTCATTCATCATTAAATTATTCGATTTATCAACTTTAAAGTGCATTGTGTGCAAAGTGCAATTATACTACTAATTTCTACAATTTCGCGCATATAACATGCGTGCCTTACAAACATGTTTGTGATTTTCAGCGAGTTTAAATTGCCATTCAAAAAATGGCGTCCGCTTGCAAACAGTTGAACAACTAGCAACGCGTTCAGTAAACGTACTTATGTAAAAAGCGCAAACGGTTTGCAAACAGTTGGTTCTGGCAAACGCACCCTATCGTTCACCAGCCCCATAGAGTAAACAACGTTGTTTACTCTATGCCAGCACCTAAACAGTTTGTGTTTGCAAAACAGCAAAAGTAATCAAAGCGCAAACCTCAGAGTAAGCGCAAACACGTTTGGTTCTGGTTCTGGTGAACGCACCCTGTCTCTATAAAATTTTAAATTATCGGCATACTGAACGAACAGCAACAGATAATTTACTTTTCACCTCTACGTGAACGATGAGACGACTATGTGTGTATATAGTAAATTAATCATAAGAACAGTTGCCTATTCCTTACCCGTAACTATTTCACGACTACGTGTTATCAAGCATAGATGGCGCACTCATGCATAAACGGAAATATATTCTTGCGACATGACGTCAGTCATTCCATCACATATCAATATTAATTTACTACGCTACTACGTAATTTTGATAACGAGAAATTAAATATACATGAATGACAAATCCCTGTTGACCTTTATCCGTGTGCTTATTTATAATACATAGATAGCATAAGGCAAAATTTTCCCTTAAAATAAGACGGGAGGGGTCTATGCTTCGTTCTGCACGTAGTACCGACTATCCATTTGGATAACAAGCAAACGCATTACCATCACAAACACGTAGACGAATACGCGTACGTTCGTAGACTTGATTACTATTCAAATTTGTAGGATACCTATTTATAAATCCAGTGCAAAAAATTTGCAAAACTACAGGGAGGACGCAGTTGCTAATTAATTAATCGAATGCATAATTACCTATCTGCCGTTTTGCACCGTTTAAATGACCAAATAGAAAATAAGTTATTTCCAAAACTATTATCCCGGCCAAATGCATGGACCCGCTAACTTTTTCGTAAATGAATTTTTTCTTATGAAGAAAATCCTCATCATGTTTAGGCTGAATACGTACTTGTAGTTAGTTCTAGGAAAATTGGTGTTCCTTCGTGTAAACTGTTATTATACGATGCTGGAAAGCATATCGTTAGCTCTGATCTTTATTGCTGAGATACAGCCGCGTGTCCAGCCTATTTGGTCACTCGGTACATACATTTTTAGAGATGGTGAATGTAGAATTTGGTACTTATAAAGGTTTTAAAATCTTACTCATCACTCAGATAGCGCTCCCCTAAACGAGGTTACTGTGAATTTTGTTATGTGAAGGTCTAGGAACATAAAAACAACGAAATTTTAGAAATTACGCAGTACCTACAGCATCAAAAAATGTTAAAAAATTGCAGCATATTCTGTAAACTGTTCAAATTTCAATACGGCTTTTGAACGGTTTCTGCGGTGCGGAACCGACCTTTAACTTAGCCAACTACCTTCTGTCGACTTGTCGAGAACTTTGTAATGTTGTATTCGAACAGTCTCTCCTAGGCCGGATTTTGCTACAGTTAGTAGTTGCATATTTACCTCTGAGACTAGTATTAGTGATTACTTTCATTTGGACACCTCGCATAGCTCTTGTTGAATTGCTTCGTCTGAGGAACATAGAAGCAACAATAAAACAAGTAGGTACCTAACAACAATATTTATATATTTCTTAAAGAAATTATGCTCTTAATTACCCTGGTGGGAAAAAATACACGTTAGTAAATAAGGATCTGGCAGCTGAAGCAGATAAATGGTAAACACA